TAAAATTGATGGATTATAAATGCAATTCTTCAATTTTGAGGTAAAAGATACTCATAAATTTGTTGATAAATAAACAGTTTATGAAGATGTAAAAATATTGATACTTTTTTCTAATTTGTTAAATACAGGTGGATTCCCAAAGTGTTCTTCAACTACCTGTTTCTCTCAAGGATCCCCATACCCTGATGTTATCAAGACCAATATGCAGTTGGAGTCAGTTGGATGCCCTGTAAGTAATACCAGTTGTATTGGTGAGGTATCAGATGCCATTGAATGTCCAGATGAGAACAAGGCTCAAGTCTCAGCAGCATCTTTGGATGTGGCTAGAAGTCCATCAGAGACCAAATCGTCCATGTTTGAGGTAGGCTTGCTGAGGGAGTGCCCATTAACGACTGGAATGGTAACACATTAAGGAATTTTTTTGTCTCGGCTGACTCAATGGTTCATATTTTATCTTACAAAAAGTAATTTTATTGCTGTCATGATATATCATAACTTATACTTGTTGCTTTCTGACTATACTTTTGATGAAGAGTTTTAGAAGTCTGAGAATAATGTTTTAAACCATTTTCTGAGGAAAATACTATTGATGATTTGGCATCGGTTGTAATTCTTTGAAAGTGCCACTGGTCATTTTGCACACAAAGGTGTTTCCTGGTGCAGGTTAGAAGCATATGAATTAGGCTTGTCACTAAAAACAGCTGTTGGTACTTGGTCAATTAGAAGAATTATAACTTAACCCTACTACAAACTTTGAATACAAAACCGACCTTTGCAGTAATGAACATTAGTTTAGCAGAAGTGAAATAAGGTGTTATAAAAAATTCAGGCCTTATTTTCACTTCTGCTTAATTTCATGTTCACCACTGCCAAAATTTCTTTCATGTTCATTACTTTTAACCTGCATTTCACATTTATGAATGTTATATATTCACAGTCAACTACAAACTTTATCTCTTAGAACCTGTAAGTTTGGCAAGGAATTACCAATTAATAAAAAAAACTAATTTTTGCTTTGGTATATTAGGGTGGATCATTGGTATCAAAGGCCAATGAAATTATTTCCTGGAGCAGGTTATCAACTGAAATTACTGAAGGTCAGTACTTTTCTAATAATGCTTTAAAATATTATAAGGTTTTTGGAAACTTTACTTCAACTTTTGGAAAACATGCACACAACAATATTGAATATCTGATTTATACAATACATCAAGTATTTCTATTTGTGCAGAATGGGTCCAAACACGTAAAGTTTCCCATAGTGTTCTCTCTAAATTAAAGGAAATATCTTGTGTTGTTCTTCAGATAGTATTTTCCAAGGTTGGAACCCTATCATTGGTATTTTTAGGTTTATAGCTCATTTAGGTTTTGTTTTGTTAGAAAATATGAAGGAAAACTCCAAACAAACATCCCTTGCTGGAAAAATTTGAAAGATAAGCTGTTTTTGAAAGGTTTTTTCCTGTGTGCTTCAATATTAAAAAGTTCATAATTTTTTCTGATCTGTTTAATACAGATGTATCCTCCAAGTGTCCTTCAACTACATATCAGGGATCCCCACATCCTGATGTTAATGAGACCAGTGTGCAGATGGAGTCAGTTGGATGCTTGGTAAGTAATATCAGCTGGGATGGAGAGGTACCAGATGAGATGGAAAGTCCCTGCAAGGAGACACCTCAAGTCTCAGCAACATATCCGGATGTTGTTAGAAATCCATCGGAAACCAGATTGTCCATGTTTGGGGTAAGGTTACTCAGGGAAAGTCCTTAAACCACTATAATGATAACACACTAGACAATTTTCTTTGTCTCAGTAGACTCAATTGTTTTTTTTTTTTTTCATCTTGGAGAACTCTTTTCAATGGATAGTCTATGATATACAATTATTGGCATGTTAAGAATTTCTGTAAATGTCACATCCCAGAACTAATTCCTGTTTATTTTGGTAGCTCTTATGTACCATTGGCCATTTTGAGTAGAAATAAATAATAATTTTATGAAAAGGAATTAACAATAAAAAATCTCTTTTTCTTTGGTGTATTAGGAAGGATCATTTGTGTCAAAGGCCAATGAAATTGTCTCCTGCAGCAAGTTATCAACTGAAATAACAGAAGGTCAGTACTTTCCCTAGTTTGTTCTTAAACATCTTGAGATTTCTGGAAATTTTTTATCCATTTTTTCAGATATGCACACAGTAGTGTTGAATGAATAATACTTATAATCCATTAATTATAAAGAAAACCATGGAAAATTGATATTTCAAAAGAAAATTTTGAGGCATTAAAATGCAGTTTGCAGATTGAAACTGGTAGCGTATATGGAAAGCTATCAAACTTCAATCAATTTATTTTTTGATCTGATCAATACAGGTGTATCTCCCATTTGTGCTTCAACTATGTCTCAAGGATCTCCACCCACTGATGTTACCAAGACCAACTTGCAGTTCGAGTCAGTTGGATGCATCTTTAGTAATACCAGTTGTGATGGAGAAGTACCAGATAAGATGGAAAGTCCCTGCACAAAGCAGAATCAAGTCTCAGTAACATCTCTGAATGTGGCTACAAATCTATCAGAGACCAATATGCAGTTTGACTCAGTTGGATACATCTTAGGTAATACCAGCTGTAATGGAGGGGTACCAGATGAGATGGAAAGTCCCTGCACAAAGCAGACTCAAGTCTCAATAACATCCTTGGATGTGGCTATAAATCCATCAGAGACCAATATGCAGTTTGACTCAGTTGGATGTATCTTGAGTAATACCAGTTGTGATGGAGAAGTACCAGATGAGATGGAAAGTCCAAGCAAGAAGCAGACTCAAGTCTCAATAACATCCCAGGATGTGGCTACAAATCCATCAGAGACCAATATGCAATTGGAGTCAGTTGGATGCATCTTAACTAATACCAGTTGTGATGAAAAGGTATCAGATGAGATGGAAAGTCCCTGCAAGAAGCAGACTCAAGTCTCAATAACATCCCAGGATGTGGCTACAAATCCATCAGAGACCAATATGCAATTGGAGTCAGTTGGATGCATCTTAACTAATACCAGTTGTGATGAAGAGGTATCAGATGAGGTGGAAAGCCCCTGTATGAAGAAGACTCAAGTCTCAATAACATCCTTGGATGTTGCTACAAACCCATTAGAAACCATTATGCAGTTGGACTCAGTTGGATGCATGTTAAGTAACACCAGTTGTGACGGTGAGGTATCAGATGAGATGGAAAGTCCCTGCAAGAAGCAGACTCAAGTCTCAATAACATCCCAGGATGTGGCTACAAATCCATCAGAGACCAATATGCAATTGGAGTCAGTTGGATGCATCTTAACTAATACCAGTTGTGATGAAGAGGTATCAGATGAGATGGAAAGTCCCTGCAAGAAGCAGACTCAAGTCTCAGTAACATCCCTGGATATGGCTACAAATCCATCAGAGACCAATATGCAGTTGGAGTCAGTTGGATGCATCTTAAGTAATACCAGTTGGGATGGAGAGGTACCAGATGAGATGGAAAGTCCCTGCAAGAAGCAGACTCAAGTCTCAATAACATCCTTGGATGTTGCTACAAATCCATCAGAAACCAATATGCAGTTTGAGTCAATTGGATGCTCCCTAGGTAATACCAGTTGGGATGGAGAGGTACCAAAAGAGATAGAAAGTCCCTGTAAGAAGCAGAGTCAAGTCTCAATAACATCCCTGGATGTTCCTACAAATCCATCAGAGATCATCATGCAGTTGGGGTCAGGTAGATGCTCCTTAGGTAATAACAGTTGTGATGGAGAGGTACCAGCTAAGGTGGAAAAACCCTGTATGAAGGAGACTCAAGTCTCAATAACATCAGTGGATGTGGCTACAAATCCATCAGAGACCAATATGCAGTTTGGGTCAGTTGAATGCTCCTTAAGTAATACCAGTTGTGGTGGAGAGGTACCAGATGAGATGGAAAGTCCCTGCAGGAAGAAGACTCTAGTCTCAATAACATCCCTGGATGTTGCTGCAAATACATCAGAGACCATTATGCAGTTGGAGTCAGTTGGATGCTCCTTTGGTAATACGAGTTGTGATGGAGAGGTACCAAATGAGATGGAAAGTCGCTGCAAGAAGAAGACTCAAGTCTCAATAACATCCCTGGATGTGGCTACAAATCCATCAGAGACAAATATGCAGTTAGAGTCAGTTGGATGCTCCTTAAGTAATAACAGTTGTGATGGAGAGGTACCAGCTGAGGTGGAAAGCCCCTGTATGAAGAAGACTCAAGTCTCAATAACATCCTTGGATGTTGCTACAAACCCATTAGAAACCATTATGCAGTTGGACTCAGTTGGATGCATGTTAAGTAACACCAGTTGTGACGGTGAGGTATCAGATGAGATGGAAAGTCCCTGCAAGAAGCAGACTCAAGTCTCAATAACATCCCGCGATGTTGCTACAAATCTATCAGAGACACAAATGTCCACGCTCGAGGTAAGCTTGCTGAGGACGAGTCCATCAACCACTGGTTATACTCTAAGGGATCTGTTTTGTCTCAGTTGATTCGATAGTTTTTATTCCATCCTACAAAACTCTTTTTTATTGTTAATTTATGAAATTCATCACTTGTACTTGTTGCTTTTTTACTGCACTTTTTATTTAGATTTTTAGAAGTCCGTTGAAATAGTGTTCAAAATCAAATTGTAACAAAAATTCTATCACCAATATGGTTTGTTTAGAAATTATGTTAATGTCACATCCCAGAACTTATGCGTACTTACCTTTGTGGCTCTCAAGTGCCATTGGCCATTTTGGGCTGAAAAGTTTTTGCTGTTGCAGTTTAGTAGCATATAAAGTGTTTTAACTTAGAACAGCTTTTGGTGCTTGGTGTACTGAGAACAATTATAGAAAAATTTTACTGCAAACTTTATCTCCAAGTAAGTTAAGCGAGAAGGACTTAACTGTAAGAAAAAACTCATTTTCCTTTGATCTAATAGGGTGGATCGTTGGCGTCAACGGCCAGTGATATTATGTACTGGAGCACGTCACCAGCTGAAATAACCGAAGGTCGGTAGTTTGTTCTGAATCATCTTAAGATTTCTTGCAATTTTATTTCGGTTTTTGTAAAATGTGCACACATCAGCATTAAATGGCTGATGTTTTTAATTTATTAAGTATAAAGAGTACAATGGAAAATCGTTAAAAAAAATACTCTGTCTATGTCTCTGTCTAGTTGCATGTGAAGAGCTAACAGAAGTCAATTTGTTTAATCTGTGAAATACAGGTGTATCCCCCAGATTTGCTTCAATCGTGTATCAGGGTTCACCACGCTCTGATACTAACGGTAACAATATGCAGGCGGAGGCAGTGGGATGCTCCTTGAGCAATACCAGTTGTGATGGAGATGTGCCAGATAAGATTGAAAGTCCCAGGAAGAACAATACTCTAGTCTCATCGACATCTCTCATCAACATCCCCAAATTGTCCATGTTTGAGGTGAGCTTCCTGAGAGGGAGTCTGGCAACCACTGTAATGGTGACGTACTAAAGAATTTTCTTGGTCTCAGTTGACTCAAAAGTTTTCTTCTTATTCTATTTCGGAGAACTCTTTTTTATGGATATTTTATGATATACCACAACCCTCTGACTATACTTTTCATTTAAAAATTTAGATGTCAGTCAAAATATATTTGAAAATAGACTTCTTTTGCGCAGAAAAGTTTTTTCCTGGTGCGGGTTTAAAGCACACAAGCACTTTTTACTTAGACTGGCACTTGGTTTAGTGAGAGCAATTGAAAAATAACCACACTAAAAACTTTATCTCTCTGTGAGGTTGACAAAGAATTAACAATTAAAAAAAATTATTATTCTTCGGTGTATTAGGGAAGATCGTTTGTGTCAAAGGTTGATGAAATTGTTTCCTGGAGCAAATTACCAACTGAAATTAACGAAGGTCAGTGCATTACCTAGTTTGTTCTTCTTAAGATTTCCTGAAACTTTATTTCCGTTTCTGCATAACATGCACACAGCAGCGTTGAATAGCTGTCTTACAATTCATGTTCCATCCACAAAATTCCATCTGGTTAACCCCTATTTCTGGATTGAAACTTACAGCATATAGAGAGTCAGCAAAAGTCAATTTTTTATCTGTTAAATGCAGGTTTATCCCACGTTTGTACTTCAACCACTTGTCAGGGATCTTCACACACTGATACTAACGAGACCAATAGACAGCCAGAGGCAGTTGGATGCTCCTTAAGTAATACCAGTTGCGATGGAGAGGTACTGGATGAGATTGAAGGACCTGTTAAGAACAAGACTCAAGTCTCAGCAGCATCCTTGGTTGTTGCTAGAAATCCATCGGATTCTAAATCATCCATGTTTGAGGTAAGTTTTCTGAGAGAGAGTTCATCAACCAGTGCAATGGTAACACACTAAGGGATTTGCTTTGTCTTAGTTGACTCATTGCTTTTTATTCAATCTTAGAAAAACCTTTTAGAGATAGGAGACCCTCCATCGTTTACTGTACAGAGTCCTGTTGCCTCGGCAACATCTTTGGATGGATCGATAAAGATTGATTTGGATACTGCCGATATGTCATCCTTCAGCTGCAACGCAGGGACGTCCATAGAAAAGAAAACTTGTGACTGCGCTACTCAAACAGCGGTATCCCTGGAGAGTGATTCCAATCCACTCATTACGAAATCTTCCAGATTTGTTGGCTTGGTTACCGTTGAATCAGCATCCCCAATTGCAGTCAAAGAACGGGGGTCAACTGGGGACTCTCTCAGTCACTCAAGAGTGTCGCTGGGAACTGGTGCGGTGGAAGCCAGAAAGAATTCCAGGGGGTGCGAAAGGAGAAGCGAGAGTCCATCCCTTAATAAAAGTCATGAGAAGGGAAAGAAAAGGAAACTGAAGCGCAGTGGTCCTGAATGTTCCGATTTAAGATCTGATGAGCCGCTGCCAAAATTCCCATGTTTGTTCACTGAGACAGAGGAACATCAAGCTAAGTCTCCAGGAACAGAAGTGACCATTGAACATCCACCTGCAGAGGATCTGGGTGAACCGACTGACCCAGAAACATCCACAGGGAAAAATATATCTCAACAACCTAAAGGTATGATAGAAGAGGCATCTAAACTCCCTTAAAAGGAAAAATATTTGCCCTCACGTTCTTTGTAGTCTCTTATTGACTGACATTTTTACTCGTTTCTCAACAACCATGAATCGATACTTTTATGATTCTAAAATATTGAGATTTGGTTTGGGGGTTGACTCTTCTTTTTCCAACTGATAGGAAAAACAAGGAAGCGAAAGCGTAGCGCTCCGGAAAGTCCAGATACATCTGAGAGAGAGTCTGAAGAGCCATTGCAAAAATCTCGATGTTTAGTCATGGAGACAAAAGAACCACAAGTTGTGTCTCCACAAGCTGAAGGTGAGAAAGAAGAAGTTTTTGACTGATCTCAACGGAGCATGTTCAGTTTTGTATCCATCGTTGACCGAGGTGTCCAGGATTGGTTCGTAGTGTTGACTTATTTAAATTACATCAATAATATCATATCCACGCCGGATGTTTTGGAAACATTTGTAGGATCTATCGATGTGATTCAGTGTTATTGTGGCTATGTATTCTTAATGTTCCTACCATTTTTTTTACATTTAGAGCCGAGAGTTAAAGTGGAAATCGGAGCAGATCCCCAAAGTCCAGAAGCTTTGGAATACGCTCATTTCTGCCTCAGAAACGCTTATCACGCGCTCCTTGGTGCCACAGCAAAAAATATAACCATCCAACCTCAGGTTAACAAAGCCTTAATGCATTTTGATGGACACCCAGCTAGCAATTTCCTTAGTTTCTGTTTCATCTGGTTTTGTTGTGAAACGAGTAAAGTAAGGAAATTCATGTAATATCTTCATGATACCTTTTGAGTGAAGTAGACTTAGTGCTCCTTGTTCGTGGAGGTATACCCATATCCTAATTTAATGTATTTTGTTAAAATTTTGATCGATTGTTTTCATTTTGAATTAAAAAGGACATGTGGGATAAATTATCACATCAGTTATCTTTTCCCTGAACCATGTAAGCGATCACTTGTACATTCATTGATGAAGATTTGTGAGGTCAGTGAAACGAACCTACTTGGTTTCAGGTTACTGTTGAGCCTTCTCAGCGAAACAGAGGGCGCAGGAATCGTATCAAAAGAGTGTGGAACGGGGAATCATTTGTTCCTGAGGTATGTCTTGAGTAAAACTCAAATGTGGTTCAAGCAGCTCCTTATAAGGTTGAGAGTTTGTGGATAGAGTTTTGTAGGGATGAGGAATAGGGGTGACTTAACTGTTAATCTGAGAAAAATATGAAATTAATGTAAACCACAAATCCGAAAATCAATTAGTATTGCTGTATACAGTTAAGATTTCCCATGCCTAACTGTTTTATTACCCTCAACATTACCACTTTCCTGAAATATTTCCGATGTTCAGGTTAATCTGATTTTCATAGCAATTATATTGCAGCATTACAGATATGATCAGATAAATAACTCGAGTACGAGTATGAGGGTAATATTTACTTGCTATTTTTTGCCATAGACTGAAGTACAAGTACAAAGTGAACCCTACAAACGGAGACGACGACGAAGAAGGAACTGAGAGTGGAAGCACATGGACAGGGTGTTCCACGGATATTTTTTTTCTACAAACTATTACAACTTGGAACCAAGAAGGATCATGCCACTTGATGACCGGGGAAAAAAAAGAAATTCTACTTTCACACTTGAAACTGAAGCCGAAACTTTCTTGTCGATAGAAACAAAAAAAAATTTGAAAAAAGAATCAACGTCCAATTCCTACTGAAACAAAAACATTACCACAAAGTCTACTTTCTCAAGTTAGCACTAAACAAATGCTAAAGCCGAAACTTTACGAAACGAAAAAAGTACACAAAAAAAATTAACAAGTAATGCCAATTTTGTTTTTATTCTTAAAATAGAAACAAACCTTCAGCCCGAACATTTCCAAATAGCGCGGTTAAAAATCAATATGTAAAACCCTCCATGTCATCAAACGTCAAACCATGTTCAATGGTTTTTTTCTATTTCCTTAAGATGCATGGAGTTAAAAAAAATAGATAAAAGCATAAAACAAGGTCATTCAAGTAGCAATAATGTTTATTCTGAAACTGATAAAAGTGTGAATGTGGCAAACAATTCCTATTATTAAACTGCTTATTTTTTAAAATTGTTGCTGTTATGTTCATAGAAAACAGATGGAATTCTAAGTAGACATTTTTAAGTGCACAGTCACAGACGTTAGTAAGATACCTTATCATACTCTGCGTTCTTCTCAGCTCTTTACTTTTAAAGACATCACAATCCTCAACATTCTGAACAAGAGGCCTGTGTAATGGGGATTATCTTAACTCTCATTCTCGTCCAAGTCTCGCTTCCCAGAGTCTCAGTATCATTTCCGCAACTATTCTCCTTCAACTCTGGACTATGTGCTCGAGGAGACTCAGAGAAACGCAGCCAGTTAAACATATGCTGCGCATTAGGCATATTTAAATTCTCACTTCGCAGACGAATCGGTTGACCAAATCTCTCGGAGCTAGGTTATATTTGGTTCCACTCAGTCATTTAGAAGGCTAAAAATTTAGGGACCGTGGTCCATTTTTTAGTAATCAATCGTATCTGGCAAACAAATCACGCCTCATCAAGCTCGTTCTATGATTTCCCACAGTCCTCTACAGCAAACTCGGGTAATGATGCATTATGGGGGCGAGAGAAACCGCAGGTGTGAAGTCTGGCAGTGTTCTTCGCTAAATGTTAAGAAATATCAGTTAGGTCTGGTGGCACCTTCTCATTGATCTTGGCTCGGAAATGTTCTTTTGTCCTCCGTGGCGTTGTAACCGCTTGGTAGATTTTCTTTAGTTCAGCCACTGTAGCCTTACCTTCGTACCTAGAAAAGTTTACCAGTATGATAGATCTCTGGAAGAGCTGTTTGTAGATGCTACTCAAACTAAATATATTCCGAGGGTAATAAGGTAGCATCTCGAAATCGATTGGAATAGTAAAGGCATTTAGAGCATGCCCTTTTTCTTCTCTGCAGCCGTTCTTTCGCTTTATGATCTGCGTAGATTGGGTTTGAGCGACAACGAAGTCGCGCGCTTGCCTCCGGAGGTCACAAATTTAGCAAACCTTCAAGAATTTGACAGAAGCAGGAATAGTAAGGTATGTCTCTTACACACCTTATCGAGATAAATATTTCGTCGAAATCTTCAAAGAACGCAGAAGGTAGTGTGTAGTTTCTGTGTTCTCTAAGCGGGCGCCTAATTCGATATGTGTAATAACTGTTGATGATGCTGTAGTTCCTCGAAAAAACCCCAGACGCTTAATAAGAATGAGAATCGACAACTGGAAGATTTTCCAATAGCTGATTTTGGCTGTTTACCTGAAAGACTTCCTCAGTAGGTAAAGACAAAGTCGATAAATGAGAATTTTGTAAATTGAAAATTACGACCATCGTTGTTTTTGTACTCATGAGTCAACGCATTTTTCCATCTTGAGAGTTAGCGCCAACGCACTCTACGATTGTTATTTGGGGATTATCGATTCATTTATTTCATTCATTAATGAAGTCGGCTTTTCTTGTCTATAAAGGGCTATTGTGTTTATATGATAAACAAAATAATACATAGTTGCTTGTAGATATGGAATTTCTCTTCTCGTGTTCAATTCGACATCTCACTCGTGAGCTATCGAGTTAAACACTCGAAGAGAAATTCCATATCTACGCGTGTCCATGTATTATTCTCTATTTCTTAATCTTAAAACTTCTGAGTCATCGCATGCTGATGTAACCTTCATCAAATTTTTTCAATCACACCTCAGTGATGTGCATTCTTCTGATTTTTTTTACAGTGAAAAAAAGAGGCAGCCTGGACTGGTCATGCAGTCTTTGCTAACTTTTGAGTGTATGTCAGCCTCATAATTTTTAACTTTTCAATCTGTATGTCAATAATAGATTATATGCTCTACTGCCTTTGCAATAGTCAGCACTGATATTTAGTAGTGCCTCACTGAAATTCAGTGTTTGGAGAGAGTTTGGGAACTTGTTATTTATTTTTAGTTTGATAATATTATCATTTGAGAGTCTTCTTGACTTTTGAAAGTTTCTATTCTATTTCCACCTAACCATGATCAATCAGCGAGGTTTTGAATACTTTTTGTGTCACTTACTCTTTTATCATGAGATTTACAAGAAAATAATACACAGTGGACCACAGTAATTTCCACAAAGAGAACATTTTAAACCTTTCTGCAAACTCATCTTGGCATTAAATAGACAAAACCTGGTTAAGTGATAAGTGAAGATTTGCAACCATTTTGTTCTAGAATAAATGATCACTTGTTCATTGTCACTCTCAACTTTTCACTACGTGACTTTTACTTCCTGTAGTTCCAGTTGCCACTCTTATTCTTGTTATACCAATTCTTACTAGCAATCTTGCTAGTGAGGGTTTTGTTGAACAGGAAGCTAGTGTGGGTTTTGTAGCTTTCAGATTTGCATAGGTTTGAGTTTTTAAGTTTTTAAAGTTTGCATACCTAGGGAGAAGTTTAAATATTTTCCAAGCCATGGTTGTTCAAAGGTTGGATAACATTATTAATTGGACAAATCTCTAGCCTTGTCTGCTGGATTGTGATTTATCTGTTGGATAGCCATGTCCCCTCTCTCTATAAAGCTGGGCCAAGAAGTTTTTTAGGCAAAATAAAGGTCAGTTGTAATATTTTCACTGGTAAAATTTATTTTTATTGTGAGAACTTAACTTAGAATTCTTTAATAACATTATTAGGGTGCATCACAACAAAAGTGGTATAAAGAAAGACAACAACTTCAACCAATAGCACTGGTTCAAACATCGTCCAGCTAACATGGTTACTTGCAGTTCACTATTTGCCTTCAACCAGATTTGTTTCAATTGCCTCAGCTTTCTAATGTAAATAGAATTTTCAATAAATATCAAAATGGACATCCAGTTAATTATTAGTTATTGATTATTAATTATTATTGTTAATTATTATTATTATTATTATTACTAGGATTTACTCGACACAAAAACATGCCAACTTTTCACTTTTAGAGAGCAGTCTGGGAAATTCCACTCAAAAATCTCTGAAGGTCTTTCAGACTAACCCCAAAGTACTTAGGCTTAAAACAGTTAGAGCAACCATTAGTTAAACTGCATTTTTATGTTAAATTTGATAATGTTAGAAAATAAAATCTTTGTCATTGTTTTTCTGTTCAAAGTGTCTTCTTCGTTTCCTCCAGACCACAGGCCTTCAACAGATTAAAATCTGGGAATGTACCTCATGTGGCGCTAAAAAATAACAAGATGTTACAGTTTTCTATGGTTCTACAGGCAAATATAAATTTTTTTTTTGACCAATCAGAGTGCGCTTTATGTCTTAGTTATGTTATAAAAACTGATAAGTCATGTTGTTTCTCCTTTTCGCTTCCTTTGTCTAGCAGTGATTTCAATAGCGGTATGTGAAGCAACATGTTTTTATAATGCTTCAAATAATTTGACAGTTATTATTGAAGCTACTTCGGGTTTTCGATGGCTTAGGATTAATATTTGAAGAGTCTACGATACGAAATTCACAATAGTTATTATGAAAGAACTCCCATTTGATCATCGTGTCGCAACTCGTTTATCTTTTACAGATAAGTTTCGAGTGAAATTTCAACAGGACATCCTAAAAAACACATTGTAAGCCTATAAGTATTTAACTGACCACGTGATCGGATAGATGCTTTAAACAGCAACTTGGGCCTATTCTCGCGCTGCACTCGTTATCGTTTTCTTCCCTAAGGTGGAGCACGTTTAGTGGCCAGAATCAAAAAGGGTGAATTTTGCATTATTGAAATTGATACGGAAACTGGCTATAAAAAGGTGACTCCTGTCCTTTCAACAATATCCACTAGCCATCGAAAAGGACATCAGAAACGTATAACGTCGCGAACTTCTTTTCAGCTACATGAATGAACCTGCTTTGTTTATATGTAGTCGAAATAGGCCCATTTTTCTAAAATTGATATTATATTCAAAATGGGAAGAGTTTAAGATTCTATCAAGCTCATAAATTTGTGCAAAGATCGAGGTTTCAGATGAAATATTTTTTCAATTTACCGTATAGTTCCTTATTTTATTTTTTATATTTCTTTATGCCACAAAATTTTACTAATGTTTAAGATCTTGGGCGAAAGCTTTAAATATAACCGTATTTAGCACGCGCACTTAAATATTCTTAAGCGCGCGCGACACATCAAAACACGTCACAAAGGACAAAAGGCTAGAGTTTGGAAATTCTCCATAGAGACTGACAGTTGTGTACTGACAAGCTTGCCGTGAGCACAGAGAAGGTTTACAGACACAACTGATCGCAATCGAGGTTGAGCTTGTTGACTCACTGACTCTGATCGAGTATGCCTAAGAGAACTTCACGCCTCCCAAAGAAGGCGAGGTCACGTCAAAACAGAAACATGAATGAAAATCCGATTCGGAAATCGGACCAAAACTCTAGAAAGCGCAAAGCGGGAACTGATTCGCTTCCCGAGGGTAAAAGAAAACAGCCAGAGAGGGAGATCGAGGTAAGTTAAAACAATTAAGAGGGTTCTTAACCAAGCAGGACTTTCTAATCGAAATGAACTGACATGATTAACAATTAGAAAATATATTATTAGCGAGGTGAAACAAATTAGATACATTTAATTTCATGAAGTCACGCGTCGTATCGTAACTTGTGAAGTTGATTTCATCCTTGAATTTTGTTTCCAGCAATCTTTAAATTTTTAGCGATGGTGATAACTGAAAAAACAATTAATTTTTGGTTTTGAATTTGTTTTTTATAGAATTTTATCAAGACGCAACGATTCTTCTGCAGTCCTGAACTACCGAGGTAAAATGAAAAAATTTCAAAATCATGAAGCAGCTCCGCATTGGTGTCTGTCTCCCTGCTGTTTTCAGAAACTGGTTTCGCGCTCTAGTATAGAAGTTTAAATAAAATTTGATAAAAATTTAGTGAAGTGAACCTTTTTTCCCGAGTTACGTAGCATGTTTTCTCTATTGGAAAACGATTCTCCTAGAAACTGAAAAACAGCGTACTTTCCTTAGCGAGCAAATGAAGAAACTTTCAAAATCATGAAGCAGCTCCGCATTATTTGCATGCATCCTTTCGTGTTCTTTAAAGCATTGATGTCTGTCTCCCTGCTGTTTTCAGAAACTGGTTTCGCGCTCTAGTATAGAAGTTTAGATAAAATTTGATAAAAATTTAGTGAAGTAAACCTTTTTTCCCGAGTTACGTAGCATGTTTTCTCTATTGGAAAACGATTCTCCTAGAAACGGAAAAACAGCGTACTTTCCTCAGAGAGCAAATGGAGAAACTTTCAAAATCATGAAGCTGCTCCGCATTATTTGCATAGTTTTATTAGAATAATATTTCTTTATCTTCTCAGGGAAAACTCCAATTGTGTAGGCATCATTCCTCAGACCAGTTCCTTGCAAGAGAGTAATGACTGCGGGGTTTCTTCAGAAAACTTACCTAAGAAAGCGAATTCATCTGAAGAAAAACATGAGAATGTTAATCGGACTGCAATTAAGTCGGAACGACCCTCTAGAAAGCGAAAAGCAGAATGTGATCCCCTTGCAGCAAGAAAACGAACCGAAAACGAGAGCAGGGTAAGTAAATGTTTAACTGATTGAGTGTTCAAACTTTCGTTTGCATAAGCTTATCAAAATTTGCAATTGGTGAAATAAACATTGTACTGTTTATCGTACTCGCGTATAGAGAGCAAAATACAATATAGTGATCCAATACTGACTTCTGACTAGGAGAAAGTTGCTGTATAATTAGAAAGGAGGAGGTGAATATCAAGCATCAGTTTCACACCAACTGAGAAAGTGTATTTTCCCTTCCATATATTCTTACAGGCTTCTCTCGAGAAACAAGATGGCCATTGTAGCAGTTACAAATTATCAAGGTAAGTAACAAAAAAACTTTGAAAGTAGCATCTGATGAAAGGAAAACTAACACTTGTTTTGTTTTTAACTTAAAAGAAAAAGGTCAAGTTGTGCGGAAGCCAGGCGTCAGGGTAACTCACCACAAGAAAATAATATCAGTGAAGAATTGCCCGATTATGAGGCTTATGAGGTAAAAAAAACCAAGATAAAAGATTGATGATTAAGCTTAAACCCAGTACCCTGATCCACCTCCAAATTTAATCTGACAGTAGAACAAGATACTTTTTTAATATCTGGTTTAAACTTGTGCGCCTAAAGCTACGATAAAAATACTTGTACTCTTGTAATTGAGTCAGTTTTTTAGATACTTTGAGTGTAAATGTTTTCAAAACTTGACTCGTTCAACTCATCAAAAAGCAATAGTTTTGTGGTCTTTCGCCCAGCACTTCTCCCCTGAACGAGGATAAACGAAGAATTAGGAATTATAACAATAGTGCGTGACCTCAGGAGAGAGGATTGGGAAGAGCCTGATTGAGATTGATCTCATTTGCAGAGTCCTCGTTCTTTTGTTGGAAAACACTTCTCCGCGGGAGTAGACCGGTGACAAAGGCTTTAGAAACGAGTATTTCAGTTAATTCCTCCCTTAAAAAATATCGTCTATGATCTCTGAAGGAAACAGACTTCATAAATCTACTTAATAATTATTTTACCTTCTTTAATCCGCTACATTTTAACAACACGAGACTTCTTTGTCGCCAGAGTTTTCCAGGACTCGAAGCTTTCTATCTGACATTATGGTTACGTGTTTATGTTCTCAGGACCCTGATGAGCCCGACTGGTTAAAAGATTGTCATTCTCCATTATGGTCACCAAGTTATGAGCCAAACTACGGCAGTTATGTGGAGGAAGTTAAAAATACTGAACCTCCTGACTACATCAAGGAACTGGCCTCTTCTGATGGTATGTTTATTCCATTTTTCTCATTACAGGAATTAAATCCTTCCTTTTCCTGAATTGATTTTTTTCCTATGGGAGGTGGAAGCAGTCACGGGCAATTTCCTCCATATTTTATAACTACCTCATCGGTCAAGAAAAAATTGACGATTTTCCACAATATGACAGCTCTGTTAATCTCAAATGTTATTAAGGCGCTAGTGACAGACCTCTCCTCCTTACCCTGCCCCTACTGGAAAATAATGTTTACCCAGGCCAGCTATTTCTTATGTCTAAGCCGATGAGTTTGTGCTAAATAATTTGTGAAAATGGTATTTATGAAGCATATGAAGTGGACGGTTGTTCAGTATCAATATTTCCTCATAGTTATTTTAATAATTGTTGGAAAATACTTCTTGCGATATTCAATTAATCGATTGCTCATTTCGTTTTTTGCTTCAATTTTAGCTGATCTTGCGAAATACGAGATAGGAAAACTCCTTGGATCTGGTTCATTTGGCCAAGTAGTTGCTGCGACTCGCAAGTCGGATGATAAACCAGTATGTGTCTTAGTGTCTGAGTATTGAATTTAAGCTAAGAATAAAGTTATCTTTCAGCGTGAAATGAGAAAAAAATGAGTTTCAAGAAGATTTCTTATCTCAGGGCAAATGATCGAACTCAAAGTTTGGCTTGGTTTAGTTCCTTGTGTTCTTAGGCGAGAAAGTTTAGTTTTACCGGAGTCTCGTCTCGCTAACTTAAAAGCAATATTTGAAACTAGCAATCTAACATAACTGCGCTGTTTTAGTAAGGAAGGAATGAGAAGGGAGGAGGAGTATGAGCTCAGGGAGGTTGGGGTCGAGATTACATCGCGCATGCGTGAGGTTAATAGCTTATAACATACAAAAATATAAAAATAGACAAAACTTAACGTAAATCGTTCTCCATAGGTGGCGCTTAAGTTTGTAAAGAGAAGTTCAGTGCAAGAGTTTAAAAAGGTTGGTGAAAGCTAAGTTTATGTAAGAGAGTTTATATTAGTATCTTCATTTACGCCACGAAACAACGTGGATCACAGAAATAACAATGACAATAACAATCTTATTGTGTAGTATCCAGTGAATAACTTCAGCGACTATGACTGTCATGTCTAAGAGATAATTTTGAAAAAAAGAAATTAACTGATTTAAGACCTAAAACATCTTTGCATTCTGTGCATGTTACAAGCAGGTTGGGATTGACTGGAAATGTTTGAGCACTTTAAATATTGGATTGCAATGATTTAGTTAGCGTACTCTTTCGCCGGAAATTTCTTTCATAGAGCTGCTCATTTCTTGCGAGAATTTGTCTTCCCCTACTAACGAGTTGCATTGATAAGAATAAGCATTTAATTTATCTTGATCGGGAATCAAAAATTGGTCTCGGCCGCGGACTGTCACGGAAACCACCGCATTCTATGAAAGATGCGATTAGAAAGTTTATTTAGTCTTTGATGGTGCTGTATCAAAATATATCACAGCTGCTTAGTCCAAACAATCAGCAAATTCCTGTTGTCGTTTACTTTGTGAGTGAAACTTGATCCGAGTAAGTTTAAATTGTATTAACCTTCTCGTCCTGTCTCCCCTCCCTTGTTACAGCTGAAAGGAAGAGAAATCCCGGCTGAGGCTTATCTGATGAGTCGAGTGCGTCACCCAAACGTCATCCAAATCTACCAGCTCATCTTCACAGAAGAACATTACTGTTTTGTTATGGAACGACCAGAATCCTGCAAAGACTTTTTTTACGTCATACAGGACCGTAACTCCGCAGGAAACCCACTGTCGGAAAAAGAAGTGAGACAGTACTTCACTCAGATCTTGGAAGCTAACATCACATGCGAAGAAAAAGGTGTTATACACCGCGATATCAAGCCTGATAATATTTTGCTGGATTTGAAAAATGATGAGGTGAAGTTGATTGACTTTGGGTTGGCATCTGAGATACAAGAGGAGCCTTTTGATAGCTTTAGAGGTAAGAACTGTTCCATCAGAGAAATCAGTTTTAAGTTGTCTCAACTCACCATAACAAAGATAAATGACGCATTCAAACATCTAAGATCTCAGAAAGAAGGCCATCTCAGTAAAAGATCTTGTAGGAAAATGACCCTTAATTTTTTCGAAGCAAGCTTCCTTATTTTTGCTTGTCTTATCTTTGCTGATATTCATCATCTTAATTTTGCCTCCCATAACATTACATATTGTTCCAGTTAAGTCGTACTTTGCATCACGTCACGTGACGGCAAGTTAGTGAGAGGAAATGGAAGCTAGGAATACGGTGCAGCCAGGAGCACGGGTAGTGGCCAGAACCTCCAGAAATTTATTTAATTTCCTCTTCCTATTCCTCTGGTAACTCTGAATTTCAAAAACCGTCTGTTAAACAGGCTAAATCTAAACAAATATTCAATGAAATTTGTTTTGTCGTTGTTCTTAAGTAAACTTACTATCAATAATTTTCTTCTAGGTACGAAACACTACATGCCCCCTGAATTCATGAAGACAGGTAAATATGACGGTTGCGAGGCAACTGTGTGGGCGATGGGAATCCTCTTGGTCGATATGTTGTCACCAGTTATTTCAGCATTTGAAAAACCACAACATTGTCTAAGTATGGAGCCCAGAATACCTCGACACTTTTCATCAGGTGTGTAACAGTTTAGTTTAGTGAACATTTGTAAACACTGTCTTCATCTGCGTTCAGTATCATAACCAGAAAAAAATCTTGGTTAATTTTAGTATAACAGTCGGAAAGTTTCGCCCTCGATTATCGGTCACGGTGTAAATGAAACTGTTGTTGGGTCATTATTGATTATCACCACTCAAGTTCTCTGAGGATAGTTTCAGGAGCTACTTCGCCTTGACATAAATGAGCTGGCTCCAGTTAATCAATCAACTAAGGGGAGAATCTTTAGGTTCCGAATCATTTCCCTTCAGTTCAGAGAGATCACGGCCCTAAAGGTCGTTAAAGATGATGCAGGGACTTCGAGGGGATTTTCGGAGAAAATTTGGTTCAAAAGCAATAATCATCTATCTTTTCCTTTTTCAAACAGAGGTGAAGAACGTTGTTTATATGTTGTTGAATCCCGAAGCAGATCAGCGACCAACTCTTAAACAAGTTCTCCAGCATCCGTGGTTCTCAATGGAAGTCTAAACTCCTCTCTGTATTATGAACCTTGCTTGCTAATTACGAGATATCTTTAACATTTTGGTTTTTTAGTATGACCGATTACTTGTATGCGGTAAAATTGCCTTGTTAAACTGTCTGTCGTTAATGAGAGTCTGTAACAGTGGCCTTGAAATGTCGTGTTGTAAGATTAGACAAGAAAAAAGTAGATTGTCCGACAGGGTTGAATAATGTCAAACCAGTTAAAACGGTTTAGTGGAACTAAATGCACACACTACCTGAACTTTTCATAGGCTGAAAAAAATGCACAAACTAGATAAATTAAATCCACTGTAAAATTATCTGAAAGGGATCACATAATGTACAGCAAAATGGTGAGTCTGAAAAAGGAATAGACATGGGTCCTAATGATTCATAGTATAATAGAGTCCCTCGAGGGGACCTAATAATTTTTAGTGAAATGTATAGTCTATACATGGGTCCTGATGATCATTTGCATGATAGAGTCCTTGAAAGGGACTTAAAAATTTTCGTGAAATAGACCATGTACACGGGTCCTTAAAGTAAAGTACAGCGAAATGGAGAGCATGTTTATGGATCCTCCAAGGGGTCCTAATGATTTGAAGCGAAATGTAGAGTCCTCAACAGGGCTCCTACGATGTACAATAAAGTGGACAATCTCCTTCATGGCCCTTGCAGACCTTGTAGCGTGATGCTCCAATAAACAAGGCCTCAGTCCAAGAGGAAATCTTCCATGTGCATTAAGATTTTTCTTAAACATTTTTCTGTAATTTTAATTCAAGTGTAAATAAAATGTCGCTTTTGGAAAAGAGTGTACAATGCGCTTAAAACTTTGTTTCCAAATTATAATGAAGAGCCAAGGGCCCACTTCGATAAAACACCAAGGCTTGGTCAACTCATTCTTTATGTCTCCTAAAAAAAAAAAAGCAAGACCTTTTAAAAGCCTAGACCACGGGCAGTCCCTCCTTTTTGGCGAAGTCCGACGCGCAAGTAAAACATATCAGAGAAAAAAGTCTTAAGCCAACTCAAATGCAAAGGGGTGGCAGGCTTGGAAATGAATTTACTAATCAGATAGAGTGTTGTTATGCGTACAGTACAGTTATGTTGCATAACTATAGATCTGCCACTAAAGGCTCTCTTATTTCACCTAAAACTATTTACGTTATTTTTCAATGAGTTCGTGAATACTTTTGGCCAAGAAGTTGTGAAAATTATTTTTGTGAAGTTTGTGTAGTAGCTATTTCAGTCTAAGCATCTTAACTTGTATCTTTTTCTGGCACTTAGCCTGTTTTAAGTTAAAAGCCATCATGATAAAGAATATTAGCTAGGAAAACAGAAAGGGAACCCGTTTTATCTAATCTGCATACCAATCGATCGATCAATATTATGACCCATTTTTCATTCCAGAAGACATATCTCACTCCAATCAGAAGGGTGCTGAATCGAATCCTTGTATGATACTTGTCGTATGATTAAAAAAGTTAACTCTGACATGCAAAAGAACTAGTGCGGAAGTAACGAAAATGCTATACACTTTTTTCACAACAAATCTTTTCTTAGGCACACAACGTTGTCTATATTTCAGAAAAAAAATCGTCAACACCCATTCTCAAGGCTGAATAAACAAAACAAAACAAACCTTTAAGCATGGGGAGAGTTTTTTTCTGTTCGAGGTTCTGCATCTACCAGATATAGTTTTCTCAGTAGCCGATGTGAAGAAAAACCTTCCACTCAGAAAATTTAATTCAGAGACACTGAGCCCCTAGAAGACGATATCAGTTCAACAGTTATCCGCAGACCTCATTTTGCATCTCCGATATTTGTAAACCATACCTAAAGTGCGCGCGCCTATCGACACCGGGTGAGATTAGTCAGCGCTACGTAACGCACTTGGATTTTGTGACAAAAAATAAATATCAGCCTATTCGAGGCATAGAACCATTAAGCCAGCAGTAAACCAGCAAAGAAAAGACAAGCTGGAGACATCGCTTTTCTTGGTATCTTAGCGTAATTGTTCATTATCGAATTGCTTACAACAGACCATGAAGGAAATAGTGAAAATGTCGAGCTATACTTTGTAAAACTACGGTGAGAGTGTAATGAAACGTTATGAGCATGTATTACCTTGTAGAAGATCGCGGATGTCCATCAAAAACTGGTAGTTTCCCTCGCTTCCTTGGTCTTACAGTAATTCCAATACCAGTATGTGGAGTAACACGTTTTTATAATGTTTCAAATGATATGACAGTTATTATTAGAGCTACTTCGGGTTTTAATGGCTTAGGATTAATATTTGAAGGGCTAACGATCTGAAATTCATAATAGTTACCATGAAAGATCCTCCATTTGGTCATCGCATTGAAACCCGTTTATCTTCTATAGATAAGTTTCAAATGAAATTTCAACAGGCCATCCTAAAAAACACATTGTAAGCCTATAACTATTTAACTGACCACGTAATCCGAGCGATGTGTTAAACAACCTATCCTACAAGAACACGTCACATGTGTCAATATTTGGGGGTCGAAAATTCAGAAACGTTGATAACAAACATACAAGTAATCAGATGACAGTTTGAACAAATGAAATAACAACTATTGAGATGAAAGAACACCTCAGAATTAAAGTCTTTTAGATTGTTTAAGAGGTTTTTCTGGTTTTGAAACTTAATTGGAAAATTAAACGAGACTTACCTGTAAGTTGAAGTTTGATTGAGAGTCTATCACATGACATCAGAAGGCGAGCAGTCACATGAGACAGCACGGCGCTTGCGCAAGTCATAATTAAAAGCTACGTAGGGGGTGCATCTGAAATAGTATTCAGGCTGAAAAAGCCAAAAGTAGGAAGAGACCGGCGACCAAATTGCCTCAGAGAGGGTGGGTGTGATAGTGGAGGGCATGTGATCTCTCGCCTTACGATGTCATGTGATAGAATCTCAATCAAACTTCAACTTATAGGAAAGTCTCGTTTAATTTTCCAATTCTATCACATGACCAGAAGGCAGAGATCCCATGAGACTTGAAAGCGTTGATGCACCCATACGACATACACTCGAACAAGAGGCATGAAATCCACACAAAAGTAAGAGGTTGAGCATAAACAATGATAACCATGTTTGTAATATATTGTCTAACAGTAACAAAATAAGTAAAGTAGCACATGTAGTATTTTAAAAACATATCAACGTTTTCACTGGTCAAGGATAGCGGAAGCAAGTCTGTTTCCTTGAATAACCGGTTTGTTGTAATATTTACGGAAGGTCTCTGCAGACTTCCAGCCTGCCTTTGCCATGATCTCATGGACAGGGACGTTCTTTTCATTAGCTTTGGAAACACATGCTGACGTAGTGCTATGTGCCGTGAACACCTTAGTATCAATACCGCAAAGTCTAAGAGTTTCCTTAGTCCACCTAGAAACCGTGTCCCCAGATACAGTTTTATGGGGCCTAACATAACTAATAAACAATTTTGTTTCGTTTTTACGCAAAGCCTTGGTCTTCTTGAGGTATGCTTTCAAACAAGTCGAAGGGCAAATTGTACTGTCTGGCTCAGAGGCAGCAATGTCAATCCTCGTATGTGGGTTTCTGGGGGTACTCGTCTTGATATGCTCAGCGACGTCAAAGGAATAATTATCCTCCTCTATGGTAAGATGCTGTAGATCTAGGTAGTGTATCGATTGCCCTCGTTGACTCGAAACTAATAGAATTAGCATAAGGACCTTGTGCGTTAAATCCTTTGAAGACAATTTTTCATTGGGGTATAAAGAAGATAAATGTTTTAAAACCGCTGAAACATCCCAAATTTTGTTATATTTAGGTTTGAGTCTACGCGATTCAAATACCCCTTTCGTAAACCGTGTAACAATATCGTTGCTACCAAAGCTTCCCCTCCGTCTATCGTAACAATGGTAGATAAGGCAGAGCGAGCAGTATTAAGGGTTGAGTAGCTAAGCCCTTTATGAAATAGCCCCGAGAGAAATTGAAGGGTGTCGCTCAGTGGTGGTGAAGAACAATTAATTTTCCATTCACTACAAAATGCCATCCATTTCTTAACGTATGTGGCAAACTGTTTTTTAGTGCCTCTCCTCCAGGATGCCATAAGAATGTCGGTAACCTCCTCTGTAAAGTGATAATGCCTGAAGGATCCCCTGACACAGGACATACCATCAGATGAAGATTCCCGTGTGGTAGATGTGGGCCACTGCGGGAGGGGTGTTCTAGAAGTTCTGGTCGTGGGAGCAGGATCCAGGGCTGGTCGCACAATTGTTGTAGGAGGACTGGAAACCACGTTTGAGTTGGCCAAAGCGGAGCGATTAGTACACCCTGTACTCGGTCTTGACTGATCTTCTGAAGGCATCTTGGGATCGAGAAGGCTAAAGGGTGGAAAAGCAAAAAAGTATGCCCAGTCCAATTCATAGTAAGAGCGTCTACGTGTGCACTGTTAGGGTCCGCTTGCCACGAGCAGTAACGACTGATCTGATAGTTCAAACGACTTGTAAACAAGTCGAAATCGAGGCCGGGGTGGCACAACAGGATCTCGTCAAACGAGCGTTTGTTTAACATCCACTCATGATTATCTGAGAACACGCGTGATTTCTCATCAGCCTCAGTGTTCAGCCGACCAGGCATGTGCTTAGCTGAGAGCCAAATATTTCGTGATACATACCATTCTCAAATTTGAACAGCTAGCTGGTTAAGTTCTTTAGATTTTGAGCCCCCCCATGTTGTTTATATAAGCAAGGGTTGTGGTATTGTCGATCTAAATTTGGATGTGGCAGTTGTTCATACGGCTACAAAAACACTATAACGCAAAAAAGGCTGCAAGTAATTCCAATATGTTTATATAGTACTCAATTTCCGAAGGGGTCCATCTCCCCCCGTTTTCTGGGTGCCAAAAACAGTTCCCCGGCCCATTGTTGATGCGGGTGACTGAATTGAAGTGCTGGGGTGGTCGTGATGGATATCTCGTTTGAGAGTTGCGGTATTATCACGCCACCACTGAATTTCTGTTAAAACGGGAGGGGATAATTGCATTTTCCCCCCGTAATCGCCCTTCTTTGCTATTAGTGCAAGATATTTATCCCGCTCAAGGTGGCGGTAGTGAAGTGGTCCATGCTGAGCACCGGGAAAATTGGACACCAAAATACCGATAACCTTTGCGACCTGTCTAATTGTAGGCATTTGTGTTTTTAAGGGCGTAGCGCAGACAGACAGAATCCGTCGAACTTTATCCTCCGTAAGCGTAACGGTCATAGCAATAGAATTCAATACAAACCCTGGGAAAGTCAATTTCTGAGAGGATATGAAAACCGAGTTCTCTGAATGGATATGAAACCCTAATTTGGTAAACATCGTGATGGTGTCAATGACATTTTTATGACATTCCGCGGAGGTGTCGCCTTGTAGATGAGAATCGTCAATACACCCTGAATTGCATCAGCACGTGTCAACAAGGTGATCAGTTCTTTGTCTTGGCTGTAATTTCCCAGCGCCAAATCGGCGGCTTTTGTCATGGCTGTAATGGCGCCAATAAGAGTGTCTTGTCCCTTCTGCGATCTTACATCTTGAGCTTTCATGCTAGTCGAAAGCTGGCTTCAGATTGAAAGGTTCACTTTCGGGGTTCGCAAACCCTTGAAATTCTCTGGACAAGGATATTTGTCCAGTTTGGCCTTGAGCTTCTTGTCCCCCATCTTTTCTGCCAAAAGATTATTAAAAATAGGCGCCAGACATTTGCGAAGCGGCGGAGAGGTCTTCTCGCTGACTGTTAAGTCCTGCGCGAGTTCCTTCAAGAGGTCTTCGCCAGGCATAGCTCGTTATTGTCATCTTTGCCCGCAGAGGCGAGGAGCGCGGATAAATCCGCATCCCATGTCCGCAGATTTGGCGGGCCCGTCATTAGAGGCGGTTTCACCGTCCTCATCGGAGTCGTCGTGCCCGTTCAGGAGCACTGAGCTCGCATTCTCGTTCAAGTTCGTCAGCTGGTTCAGAACTGGAGCCAAGGCAGCTTTGAACATATCCGCAAAAGTGTTTGCTGAAGGCATATTCTGAGCGCCACTGTCCGTTGACGTTTCAGTGGCGCGCCCGTCAGTTGTGTGGTCTTCGTGATCGGACATAATCACACTGAATTATTGGCACCCAACTACGTTAGGGCCTCGGCTGGATTCCAATTAAGGCTAACTACGTTAATCTCTCCAGCAATTCGTGTCAAAAAGGTTTGTAGAAGGGTGGAAAAACCAAGCTCCAAGAATTTGTATGACGTACCGCGTTAAGCGCAAATCGTGCAATGACTTGTACAAGCGCAGTGCTATCTCATCGGATCTCTGCCTTCTGGTCATGTGATAGAATTCAAGAGCAGTTGCTATATTTTTATGTTTAGCCTGTAACATTTAATTGCCTGTAATTGGTTTCATTACTTGGCATGTTAATGAGGCCCTGATTAGTTTTCTTCTTGTGACGTTTTATTTATTGAATTACATCACAATTAGCTCATTTCGCATCAACCACTCGCCGAGGTCAGACGTATTTTGGGCTGCTCTCGGAAGTTGTTAAGATTGCTTCAAAATTAAACAAGATGGACGAGGAAAAACTAACACCTTTAGTCCCCACCGACCATCGTCCTAAGATTGAGGTAAGTAACCCTAATTTTGCATTAAATTCTTAACGTGCATCTAGCTAAAAACAGGTAATGTGCTGCTTCTGCAAGCAGCCGCTGTAATGACTATACTTGAATGACGGCACAGACTTAAAAATTAATTATGAGCAATCATGACGTATTGCATAATTAAAAATTAATTCATCAATTATCATATTAGCTCACTAGCAATTATCTGATTATCAATTAATACATTGCGTATGGTAACTATCGAGAGATTTTAGCAAGATAGATTTTAGATAATAATGCGTTTATTGTTTCCCAGCTAAGATACCCATTATATCTATAGGCCTTTCTACGCCTGAAAAAGGGGTCGACAAAAGGAAAAAAAATCAAACGTAACAGACGCAGAAATTAAGCTGTGGAAGATTTCACTGAAGTAAATGGGAGAAATTTGTAATTAAAGCAAAATTACCGCTAGTGAGCTCCTTCCCTTGAGGCGTTTTAGCTCCAGAAAAAGATCAATATGTTAATGTTAACGACAATGTGACCCCTTATTTATTACATATTGGTATTTCTTGAATGCAGAAAACAACAAATTTTGTCCATGATATGACACCAGCGCGTGCATCATAATCAGGCTAAAATCAATGGTGCCACCTTTTCTCTATACGACGATCAATATCGGCACTCAGTGCTTCCTCGGTTTCCCTATTTTGCCGACTCATGCTAACCAGCGCGGGAAATGGATATATTAAACTTCAGTTACCTACAAAGCTTTGTTTAAATTTGAATAACCTGACACGTCCACAGTGGGTGACGTTGAAGAACTACAAGATTAATCTATAACATTCTCATGTAATCAGTTCTTATACACTATGATAAACATTAGTAGAAACACATTTTTTTTTGTTTTACTTCGTTTCATTTTCTCTTTATGGGTGTCTGTTTGTGTGTGTGCTTGGATGGTCAGAGGTAGTCACATTCGTCTTTAAGCTCAGGGTGGATCAAATATCTAATTTGATTTAATTTTTCGTCGTTTAAAAGGAAACCTGTACCAACCAAACACCTGTGAACACTTCCACCACAGTGGACTCTAAAGGTAGGGCAAATCTCTCCTTGTTTTTCTTAGGAGATTATTAGGAAGTTGTTTTTTTAAGTTTCAAAACTCAACATTGCTTAGGAAATGATAGGTGTTGTCACCAAACCTGTGATTTCTCATTTATTTTTGTCCTACAATAACAGCTGAAGTCCGAGCTCTGCTCGTTGGTGCCTTGAATGGATCTTTGGGCTCATCCAGTCTATCAGCGCGTAATCTACTAGAAACGCTCCTCAAAAAGCTGGACAAAGGTACTCCTAAGATGAGGGAGAATCCATCAACTACTGCAATGGTAAGACATTAAGTGATCTGCTGTGTTTGAGTCGATTCATCAGTTTGGTGGGTGAACTGGGATAATTTATATAGGGGAGGTCAGTTGTCTCTTTAATGCGCCAACTGGTTCAAATGTCGATCGTCGAGTATCAAGGTGGGACAATGTATCCTAAATTTTGCAAATTTGCACGGGGGTCCTTTCTAAGTTATTGTCAGGCTTGAAGTATCTGGTTCTGCTTAGATATGCTTTCGCTTCTGTGTTATGCAAGATTTTTGGTAGATACTTCATCATACACCTTAACTTTAAGTCTTTGCTTTCTACTAGACTTTTGGAAGAAATATCAGTCAATCCATAGAAAATAATTGTGTGAAACAATGTTTGATGGAAATAGTACCGATCATTTGCCATATTTGAAAATTCTGTAAGTGTCACAACTCAAAACTACTGCCTGTATGATGTTCTATGTTTCATGCGCGGTTGGCCGTGTCACGCACTTAATGAGTTATCATGAAAACTGTTTTTTTGCTCTCTTTTTTAATCCATATTTTAACACTTTGTACTGTAAATGTGGTAATTACCCCTAGAAATACCTTAAGAACATTACAAGGATCAACAAACGTCGACATGGTGGCAAAAAATAAATCCTCTTCAACTGCAATATCATTTCTCCGTTTTCAAAAAGGACTTTTCCAAAAATATTTCTAAAGCTCTAACAACATCTGCGGAGGTTCAACTTCCTTTCAGATGTTAATGAACTTGTAATCACCTGGATTCTACCGACAAAAGTCATCCAGGTACTTGGGGGACTTTTTGGGTTTAAGTATTGTAGATGGCATAATAAGGCTTGTTTGGGTTTGAAATGTATAGAGGTACTTAAAAGAGAAAACCTTCTGAGGGTTGGTGTACATATGAAATGGAATTTTCAATTCACATAAATCATTTTTCTTATTAATTAGGTCGGATTGGAGGCTGGAATGAACCAAGGTCAGTACTTTCCTTTGTTCTGAACATCTTAAGATTTCTTGCAGCTCGATTTCGGCTTTTGTCAAACGTAGCACAAAACAGCGTCGAATAGCTGAATCTTAAAAACTAAAAATGGTTCTTCGTGTGCAAGACCGGCCGAGACGACCGTAATTAAAGTCAGTCTCAGTTTGTTGATCGCTTGTCTCATTTTAAATAATCGAGTTGCACATGAAGTCAAGACATGAAGCAATAGGTGTCGCACTTTCCATCGAGTGTGACACCTATTGCGTCACGCCTGAAAAACAAATTGTGCCTCGTCAAGTCCAGCAGCACGCTATAAGTGGGTTTCGTTAAAAACGATGTTAGAGTGTATCAAAAAAAAAAATCACAAGTTAAAGAACATACATAATGGTTAAGGTAACATAACTGAACTGGTGGGACATACGATTAGTGCATGCGCTTCGAAACGTTATAAGTGTGACAGGACATCGTCAGCATTTGTTACGCATGCCATGTTCGCGTGTGCACGTTAATTTTTGGACGGGTCGGATTTTTGGAGGTTTTTTCGTTAGGATTTATAATGTTAAGCATGTGGCTTTTTCGCCTGTCTTCTAAGGGCTTTCCGTAACTTCTTTTGAACAATAACCAAAACCAAACAAAGAACTCACAAAGTTCAAACCCTTTAATTCACAACCTAGCAGAGATATCTGCACCCCAGTTAAATGCATCTCAGGAAATGGGTGATGTTGATATGGAGAAGGCTGAGGAGAACTACGACACGACTGGGGACTCTTGGGCAAACTCTCATGTATCGTTAATTGAAGACGATGAGGAGACAAACAACGAAGGCTCTTCTTGCCAACAGGAAGCAATGGAGGACGAGAGCGCAACACTTCCTTCAAGAGAAATCAATGAAGTTGCGCCTAATCAACATTTGAATTCATTTAATTTACGAAATGTATCCATGGCGGCAAAGGATCGGGTGCACGATTTTGCCCTCGATCTAGCGAATACAACCTCATCACAGCCTGATACTTCCAGCCACCTGAATCAATCCAAGTCACCTGCAAGTGAATCAGCGATATTTCTGGAGTTTGGTCCAGATCCAGTGAACGAAGAATCTTTCAGCTACCCGGAGAGAGTTTCCATGCTATCACCTATGTACCATGGTAAATTGATGTTCCATCCGCATATTTGCAATCGTTAGAACACCGTTTATCGGTTTAAACTAATAGCACACGAAGATATAACGAAAGTCAATACTTTTTTTCGAATCTATAAAATACAGGTGTACGTGTAATGTTTCAAGTGCAGACACAATATCGTTACACCTCTCGATGTAACAACCATACACCCAACCACTTATAAGCATGACAAGGCTTGAGTATCTAACTGATATAATTTTTAAGATGCGATGTTTTGATCCACAGAGTCTGAAGAGATTCTTAAAATGAATGACATCAGTCCGTGGAGAGGTCTGCAAGTAACACCAAATGACACTATGGACATTAGTCCTGGACACCATCTGAGTAAAAGCTTCTTCTCTCACCCTAAAGATTTGGCGATGTTCTTTCCCTCTACCGAAAAAATCCAGGAGGCCGAATCAACAATACTTGCAAACGAAATCTCTCCCTGGAGAGGCTTGCCAACTGCGTCGATGTCAGGTTAGTAATCCTTTTTACTATTTTAATCACAATTTTTTGTGGCAACTGGATACCGCTATCAATTTTTTCTATAAAATGCAAATATAAGAAACAATAAAATATTCTGTAAAAGTCTTTCCGCTCGCGGTGTTTCACGCCCGTTAACTTCACAGGAAATGTATGAGTGGCTTTTGCTGAACACGATATTAGAGTGTATCAAAAAGGAAAAAAATTACGTTTGAGAGCATAAATAACTGTTGAGACAACAGAACTTTACCGGTGGAAAGCGCGACTATGAGAACACATCGTCAGCATTTCATAAGCGTACCATGTTAGAGTGAGGAAATTTTCTTCAGTTTTGGACAAGTAAGGTTTTTGGAGAGTATTCAAATTAGGAGTTTTAATGTAAGCGCGTTTCCGTTCGGTGGTGTGTGCGTGTGTTTTTTTTGGCCAAGGGGTTTTCTGTTAATGCTTTCGAATAATAACTTAAACAAAACAAAGAATTCAAAAAGTTCAAACCTTTTAATTCACAACCTAGCAGAGATATCTGCACCCCAGGTAAATGCATCTCAGGAAATGGGTGATGTTGATATGGAGAAGGCTAAGGAGAACTACAAAACTACTGGGGACTCTTGGGCAAACTCTCATGTATCGTTAACTGAAGACGATGAGGAGACAAACAACGAAGGCTCTTCTTGCCAACAGGAAGCAATGGAGGACGAGAGCGCAACACTTCCTTCAAGTGAGATCAATGCAGTTGCGCCTGATCAGCATTTGAATTCATTTCCTTCACCAGATGTATCCATGTTGGCAAAGAAACGGGTGCACGATTTTGTTCTCGATGTTGTGAATACAACCTCATCACAGCTTGATACTTCCAGCCACCTGCATCAATCCAAGCCACCAGGTCCAGATCCAGTGAGCGAAGAATCTTCCAGATACCCAGAGAAAGTTTTAATTCTATCACTTAAGGAAAACGATTCATCGGAGACAACGATGATGTCTTCAGGTAACTCAAAATTATCTTTAGGAAGTGATGTGAAAACAGGTAGTAATAACTTTTTCCCTTGCGGGATAGTTTGATTATCCATATCAGTACTCGATCAACATTTCTACATCAAGTTATTTCAAGATACAAAGCGTTATAACAAACCCGTGTTTAGCATTTGTTTAAGTTCTGTTACATTATATAATGCGTTCCATGGTAAATCGATGTTTCATCCGCAGATTTGCAACTGTTAACGCCGTTTATCGATTAAAACTAATAGCGTCTAAAGAGATAACGAAAGTCAATACCTTTCTTTCCGATCTGTTGTATACAGATGTACCCCACGTGTGTGCTTCTCCCGTATGGGAGATACACGAAACAGGGTGCCCTCCATCGTCTTCTGCACAGACTCCTGTTACTCACTCCTGGAGTTCCACATTGACATCTGGAAGATCGATAGATATTGGTCTCAAAACAACCTGTGCTACACCTGCTGAAAACAAAACTCCCGGCGAAACTGCAGCAACGTCCTCGGATGGCTCGATAATAACTGATTTGAATACTACCGATATGCCATCCTTCCGCTGCAAATCAGGGACTTCAGCTAAAAAGGAAAGTTGTGACTTCGGCACATCAGCAACATCCTCAGATGTTGATGCAAATCAAGTCATAACAAAATCCTCCAGGTTTGCTGACATTTTTTCGCCATCCCTAAATGAATTCAAAGAACAGGAGTCAACAGGGGACTCTCTCAGTCACTCAAGAGTGTCGTTGAGAATTGATGAGGTGGAAGCCAGACAGAATTCCAGTGCATGCGTAAGGAGAAGCGAGAGTCCATCGAAAAATACACAGAGTCATGACAAGGGCTCCGTTAATCCACTCACAAACTCACTAGGATTAAAACAAAGTGATTTCGAGAACACTAGCATCATCTCCTGTTGCTGCGATGGAAAAGCATACATTGAAAATGAAGCTAGTCCATCTTGCTCGAAATCCTTCGGCTTCGTTGCAAAGATGTCAACTGGACTGGAAAATTCCAACCTGGTGTCTAAAAGTGAGTATAGCATTAATACCAAGGAGATGTCAATGGTCTCTAGATTTTTTATTTTGAAAAAGCTTATTGTCTGTCAACATTCTAAGTTTTCTTGGGAACTAGAGAAAACGAAGAGTGCTTTTCCACCCGGTGAGAAATATCGTTATTTGCAAATTCTCATAAACCATAGGCAAACTCAAGATTTCCATTATTAAAAACATTAGGTATGAAAATTCCCATTAAAAAGAATCTTTACTGCCGTTGTATTGATCTTAGGTTAATTTCAGGTTTAAAAATATGAATATTATCCACAAGTAGTTGACTTCTCCTTTTTAACTTTTAAGGAAGCAAAAGGAAACGAAAGCGCGGCGCACCTGAATGTTCTAACGTAGAATCTGTTGAGCCTTTGCGAAAATCCCCACGTTTTGCCATGGAGACAGGGGAAAATCAAACCGAGTCACCTTTAATAAAGGTGAAGATTGAGCATCAGCATCCACCCGCAGAGGACTTGGGTGACCCGACTGACGCAGCAACATCTGCAAAGAAAAGATCATCTCCCAAAGCTAAAGGTTAAGTAGAGTAGGCTTTTGACTTCTCTTAACAGGATCACGATTTGTGTTCACGTTCTTTTCTAGTTTTATCGTTTACTTAAAAATATTCACTCGTTCCTCAAGAACCCGCGATTCGATACTTTTTAGATTCTAAAATAGTGACATTAGGTATGGGTGGTTGACTCTGTATTTCCAAATGACAGGAAAGACCAGAAAACGGAAGCGCAGTGTTCGAGAAAGTTCAGATATATCTGATAAACCATTGCAAAATTTTCCATGGTTAGAAACAAATGAACCTCAAGTTGTGTCTCCACAAGCTGAAGGTGAGAAAGAACAAGTTTTTGACTTACCTACCTTAATGGGGCGTGTTTAGTTTTGTATCTACCGTTGACTGAGATATTTTATTAATATGTATCTCAACAAACCGCAAGTTGATTTTACCAATTTTTAATCACCTAATAATATCATCGGACAAAATCATGTGGGCGATTATCCCCTGGATGTCACTGGAGGATGATGTTAAGCTATGCAAAAACGACACCTTCAACAGCGTCCAGACTGGACCACTCCTCCGGTATCCAAATGAATGACTGATTTAAGTGACGTCAGTAATGTCACGTCCACCCCGAATGTTATGGGATCCCAGTGTGAATAAGTATTATTATGGTTGGGTAATTTCAATGTTCCTATCATTTTTTTTTATATTTAGAGCCGCGAGTTAAAGTGGAAGTTCCGCAAAGTCCAGAAGCCTTGGAGTACGCTCATTTCTGCCTCAGAAATGCTTATCACGCACTCCTTGGTGCCACGGCAAAAAATGTAACCATCCAACCTCAGGTTAACACAGCTAATATTCATTTTGATTGGCACTCGGCTAGCAACCTCTTCAGTTTCTATCTTATGGTTTTGTTGCGAAAAACGATAAAAGCGAGGAAATTCACGAATTATCCTCTTTGTTCGCTCTTTGTTACCAGAGGTACAACAATATCCTTATTTTCTGCATTTTGTTAAAAGTTTTATCGATAGTTTCTATTTTAAGTTAAAAAGGACATGTGGGATAAATCATAACATCAGGTATCTTTCCCCTGAACCATGATAGCGATCACTTGCATATTACTTTATGGAATTTTCTGCGGTCGATAAAACGAACGTATTTGGTTTCAGGTTGCTGTTGAGCCTTCTCAAATAAAAAGAGGAAATCGTTACAGAGCTAGAAGAATGCGGGACGGGGATTCATTTGTTCCTAAGGTACGTCTTAAAATGTGGTTCAACTAGCCTCATATGAAACTGACAGTTTGTGGAAAGAGTTTTGTCGGGATGGGCTTTAGAGGTATCAAAACTGTCGATCAAAGAAAAATATGGACACCTAAACTATGTCCGGAATGATAGTTGCGTTATGACTGAACACATGGAAGTTCAGAGATGTAACTCGATTACGAGTATGAGAAGAATACTTACTTGCCATTTTTGCCATAGACTGAAGTACGGGCACAAATCGAACCCTACAAACGGAGACGACGACGAAGAAGGAACTAAGAGGTGGAAGCACATGGAAAGGATGCTCCATGAATCTTTTTTTTTTCTACAAAGTATTGCAACTTGGAACTAAGATGTATCACGCTACTCGATGACCGGCTCAAAAAAACAGAAAAAAGGAAAAGAAATCCCAAAAAATGTTTTCAGAAATACTACTTTCAAAATTGAAACTGAAGCCGAAACTTTCCTGTCGATAGAAACAGAAAAAAAAAGACAAAAACAAAAAAAAACACGCTTTCTTAAGTTAGCACTAAACAACACTAAAGCCAAAAATTTGTTGTGGATTGAAACGAAAAAGAGTAACCAAAAAATTAACATATAATGCCAATTTTGAAGCATAAAACAAGGTCATCCAAGTAGCAATAACGTTTATTCTGAAACTGATAAAATGTAAATGTGGCAAAGAAATCCTTTTTATTAAACTGTGTATTGTTTTCCAAACGTATTTTTGTTCAGTTCATAGAAAAGAGATTGAATTTTGAGGAGAAATTTTATGGACGTTAGCAAGATATCAGCTCTTTACTTAAAACGACATCACAGTCCATAACAAACTGAACCAGAAGCCTGTGTAAGGGGAATTATCTAAAGTCTTATTCTTGTCCAAGTCATACTTCCCAGAGTCTCAATAACATTTCAGCGACTATTCTCCTTCAACTCTGGGCTATCTCCACGATAGTGTTTTCTGTTCCAGGCGTCCCATCCGAATGAGGAGAGTCAGAGAAACGCTGTGGAGCCAGGAAAAAATGGGAGAGTTCTGGGAAAAAAAAGGCTGTCATAAAATTATACGAGATATATGCAACTTGTGTGATTATCCAAGAGTAAACGGCTTTTGGAGCTTTGGTTCTTCCGCTTGCTTGTATGTATCATATGACATTGATGCGTATGTGATGCATATGAGGTTATTTGAAGAGTTGGTCTGAGGTTACTATTGATAAACCTGGGAGCAAGGGTTATAAGCGCACGTTCGTCTCTTAAAAAAATAGGATAAAAGGCTGTAAAACATTTCCTCCGTGATTTTTGTGCATACTGTCAAGGTTATTGACAACTCAGGAACGGATGAACCCACTTCTGCTTCAATAACAATAATTGTTCAAGGGCGCGCCGAATATGGGCTGATTATTAACGCACGAGGTATATAGCATCGATTTGCTTTTAATAATCTCATATTCGGCGAGTCTGAGTGAAATAATTGTTATAGCATAATCGGACTCAAAAATAACTCAGTCAAACAGCTTTAATTTGGCTTGACAAAGTCACCTTACCTTCACTGCAACAAGACAGTTTTTACTGAAGTACATCACAACCCATCATTACTGGAGTAAGTTACTTCTAAGGTAGTTAGGGTAAAGGTAAAACACGAAAACTTGATTTTTCTCCCATTAATTTGAATATCCAACCATATTATTTGTGTTATATCAGTATAATAGTCTTAGAAGTGGATAAGTTAGTACCTAAATTCACTTGTTAAAATTCAGGGAAAGATTGTTTTAATCTCTTCGATTTTAATACGGACGTCATATTACAAAGATGCTTAATCGACATGTCGTATTAAGTCAAGATCATTTGAATCAGAACTTTTTTCGGCTGAGATTAAGGGCTCGTATAGAAGGCAGTAGCTACAAAAATGTTACTGGACATTTATTCCATTCTGAGTTTTCATTGCAAGATGGCATATTTTCAAAACCTACAATAACTTGTTTGGAACTGCACAAGACACAGAAGACATTGCTTAGATGGTCAAGTGAGCCCAATCCTCGCACATTCCCTATCAAAATAACATATTACATAAAAATAATCAGACGTGTCATTGTTAAAGTACATTCAAGCACTAATAAGGAAAAAAATATTTCAATCAATTGAAAGTTCTTAAATACATATAATTGATGCCATTAGAGCTCTGTTCTATTTCTGCTCCGCCAATCTTTTCAACAATGTGATATTTGAACCGTAAATTGCGGATGATAGAGAGAGCAAATCATTCAAAGCCTTGTGGTTTTCTATGGACTGTCGCCAACTTTACTTTAAGCATCATTACACCTAATTTGTAACATTAAAGTGACAGAGAAGCCAAACAATGATCCAAGAGTTTAAACTCAGCAGTTAAAAATATTTAACTTAAATATGAAAAAGCACAAAATCACCTGCATTAGAAAAATAAACACAAGACAGCAGCACGGACCCTACCTGTAAATAAGTCTTTCAAGAAACAGAAATTAATGTACAGCTCTCAAATAATACAAGGGAAACTACTAGTTTTTGATTGACATCCTCGTCTTCTAAAAGTTAAGATATGCTCATAGCATTTCATTACAGAGTTAACTTTTTTCATCAAACGACAAGTATCATACAAGGATTCGATTCAACACCTTTCTGATTGGAGGAAAATAGTAAGGGAAAATTTTGTCTGGATAAATTTAGCGGTGCAAGATGGCCGCTTTTTTTAGCTGTGCAAGATAGCCGATTTTTTCTGTCTCAAAGTTAATTCTTTTCGCAGGAGTCACGAGTCTCCAGCGATCAGTTTAAGACGTGGTATTTTACGTGAGTTTCTCCTATTTGTCTTTAGACCTGACACACTAAGCAGGTTTGACTCCCTAATCGGTTCCTCCTTCTCTTTTTGTTCATGTGTTTATGTCATACCAGCACTCGCATTTTTTATCGTGTTCTCACCTTTGCTAGAGCTTAACAAGTAGAAATTCCCTAATAATTAATCATAAAAGGTTAATTTTGAGACCAAAAAAATTGACCATCGTGCTCAGCCAAATTTATCCAGACACAAACTTCCCTGGTTTGTATTTAATTTAGCGTTTTTGCAAACAAAGCACGAGGGTTCACCTAGAAATCAACCAAGGTATATACACAGGTATAATTTCATAGTTCTATACATTTCCAACAAGGGAGACATAGAGAATGAGTTGATAAAGCCTTGGTGCTTTATCGAAGCGGGCCCTTGGCTCTTCATGATATTTTGAAAACAAAGATTTTAACGTATTGTACACTCTTTTCCAAAAGCGACATTTTATTTACACTTCAATTAAAATTACAGCAAAATTTTTAAAAAATCTTAATGTACATAGGAGGTTTTCTCACGGAGCGAGGCCTTGTTTATCAGAACATCACGCTACAAGGTCTGCAAGGGCCATGAAGGAGACTGTCCACTTTATTGTACATTGTAGGAGCTCTATTGTGGACTCAATATTTCGCTCCACATTATTAGGACCCCTTGGAGGATCCATAAACATGCTCTCCATCTCGCTGTACTTTACTTTAAGGACCCGTGTATATAGTCCATTTCACGAAAATTTTTAGGTCCCTTTCAGGGATTTTATCTTGCTGAGGATCATTAGGACTCATGTATAGACTATACATTTCACTAAAAATTATTAGGTCCCTTTTGGGGACTCTATCTCACTAAGGATCATTAGCATCCATGTTTAGGTTATACATTTCGCTAAAAATTATTAGATCCCTTCAAGGGACTCTATTTTACTATGAATCATTAGGACCCATTTATGTTCCTCTTTCAGACTCACCATTTTGCTGTATGCATTTTTTTCCTCTATATGAACTAGTTCAGGTAGTGTGTGCATTTAGTTGCGCTAAACCGTTTTAACTGGTTTGACATTATTCAACCCTGTCGGACAATCTACGTTTTTCTTGTCTAATCTTACTACACGACATTTCAAGGCCACTGTTACAGACTCTCAGTAACAACAGACAATTTCACAAGGCAATTTTACCGATTACAAATAATCAGTTATACTAAAAAACAAAATGTTAAAGATATCTCGTAATTAGCAAGCAAGGTCCATAATACAGAGAGGAGTTTAGACTTCCATTGAGAACCAGGGATGCTGGAGAACTTGTTTAAGAGTTGGTCGCTGATCTGCTTCGCGATTCAACAACATATAAACAACGTTCTTCACCTCTGTTTGAAAAAGGAAAAGATAGATGATTATTCCCTTTGAACCAGACTTTCACGGAAAATCCTCTCGAAGTCCCTGATACATCATCTTTAACGACCTTTAGGGCCGTGATCTCTCTTAACTGAAGGGAAATGATTCGGAACCCAAAGATTCTCCCCTTAGTTGATTGATTAACTGGAGCCAGCTCATTTATGTCAAGGCGAAGTAGCTCCTGAAATTATCCTCAGAGAACTCGAGTGGTGATAACCAATAATGACCCAACAACAGTTTTCTTTACACCGTGACCGTCAATCGAGGGCGAGACTTTCCGACTGTCATACAAGAATTTATGAAGATTTTTTTGCTTGTTAGGATACTGAACGCAGATGAAGACAGTGTTACAAATGTTCACTTAATGAAACTGTTACACACCTGATGAAAAGTGTCGAGGTATTCTGGGCTCCATGCTTAGACAATGTTGTGGTTTTTCAAATGCTGGAATAACTGGTGACAACATATCGACCAAGAGGATTCCCATCGCCCATACAGTAGCCTCGCATCCGTCATATTTACCTGTCTTCATGAATTCAGGGGGCAAGTAGTACTGCGTACCTAGAAAAATATTATTCATGGTAAGTTTACTTAAAAACAAAGAGAAAACAATTTTCATTGAATATTTGCTCAGATTTAGCCTGCTTAACAGACTGTTTTCGAAATTCAAAGCTACCAGAGGAATAGGAAGAAGAAATTAAATAAATTTGTGGAGGTTCTGGCCACCACCCGTACTCCTGGCTGCACCATATTACTAGCTTCCACTTCCTCTCCCTAACTTGCCGTCACGTGACGTGATGCTAAGTACGACTTAACCAGATTATGTAATATTACAGGAGGCAAATTAAGATGATGAATATTAGCGAAGACAAGATAAGAAAGAATAAGGAAGCTTGTTTCGAAAAATTAAGGGTCATTTTCCTACAAGATCTTTGAACTGAGCTGGCTTCTTGCTGAGATCTTTGATGTTTGAATGCGTCATTTATCTTTGTTATGTTGAGTTGAGACAACTTGAAACTGATTTCTCTGATGGAACAGTTCTTACCTCTAAAGCTATCAAAAGGCTCTTCTTGTATCTCAGATGCCAACCCAAAGTCAATCAACTTCACCTCATCATTTTTCAAATCCAGCAAAATATTATCAGGCTTGAGGTCGCGGTGTATAACACCTTTTTCTTCGCATTTGATGTTAGCTTCCAAGATCTGAGTGAAGTACCGTCTCACTTCATCTTCTGTCAGTGGGTTTCCTGCGGAGTTACGGTCCTGTATGACGTAAAAAAAGTCTTTGCAGGATTCTGGTCGTTCCATAACAAAACAGTAATGTTCTTCTGTGAAGATGAGCTGGTAGATTTGGATGACGTTTGGGTGACGCACTCGACTCATCAGATAAGCCTCAGCCGGGATTTCTCTTCCTTTCAGCTGTAACGAGGGAGGGGAGAGAGGATAAGAGGGTTGATACAAGTTAAACTTACTCGGATCAAGTTTCACTCACAAAGTAAACGACAACAGGAATTTGCTGATTGTTTGGACTAAGCAGCTGTGACATATTTTGATACAGCACCATCAAAGACCAATCAACTTTCTAATCGCATCTTTCAGAGAATGCAATAGTTTCCGTGACGGTCCACGGCCGAGACAAATTTTTGATTCCCGATCAAGATAAATTAAATGTTTATTCTTATCAATACAACTCTATTTGTAAGGTGAAGAGAAATTCGCGTAAGAAATGAGCAGCTCTCTGAAAACAAAATATCCGGCTAAAGAGCACGCTAACTAAATCACTACAATCCAATATTTAAAGTGCTCAAACATTACCAGTCAATCCCAACCTGCTTGTAACATATACGAAATGCAAAGTAGCTTTGGGTCTTGAATCAGTTCACTTTTCTGCTTCAAAATTATCTCTTAGACACGACGGTCATTGTCGCTGAAGTTATTCACTGGATACTACACAATACGATTGTTATTGACGTTGTTATTTCTGTGATCCACGTTATTTAGTGGCGTAAACAAAAATACTAACATAAATTCTCTTACATAAACTAAAACTTTCACCAACCTCTTTAAACTCTTGCACTGAACTTCTCTTTACAAACTTAAGCGCCACCTAGGGAGAACGATTTACGTTGAGGTTTTATTTTGTTCTGTTTTTGTATATTATAAGCTACTAACCTCACGCATGCGCGAAATAGCCCCGATACCAACTTCCCTAAACTCATACTCCTTCTCCCTTCTCATTCCTTCCTTACTAAAACAGCGCAGTTATGTTAGATTGTTAGTTTCAAATATCGCTTTTAAGTTAGCGAGACGAGACTCTGGTAAAACTAAACTTTCTCGCCTAAGAGCACATGGAAATAAACCAAGCTAAGCTTTGAGTTCGACCATTTGCTCTGAGATTTAGAACTCTTCTTGAAACTCATTTTCTTTCTCGTTTCAGTCTCATGCTAAAAGATTACTTTACTCCTAGTAAGTTATAGTGCTCCTATTCAATACTCAGACACTAAGACACCTACAGGTTTATCATCCGACTTGCGAGTCGCAGCAACTACCTGACCAAATGAACCAGATCCAAGGAGTTTTCCTATCTCGTATTTCGCAAGATCAGCTAAAATTGGAGCGAAATGAGCAATCGATTAATTGAATATCGCAAGAACTATTTTCCAACAATTATTAAAATAACTATGAGGAAATATTGATACTGAATAATCGTCCACTTCGTATGCTTCATAAATACCGTTTTCACAAATTATTTAGCACAAACTTAGCGGCTTCGACATAAACAAAAGCTGGCCTGGGTAAACATTATTTTCCAGTAAGGGTAGGGTAGGGAGGAGAGGTCCGTCACTAGCGCCTTACTAGCATTAACAGAGCTGTCATATTGTAGAAAATCGTCAATTTTTCCTTGACCGATGGGGGAGTTATAAATTATGGAGGAGAGTGTCCGTGACTGCTTCCACTTCCATATAGAAAAAATTAATTCAGGAAAAGAAAGGATTTAATTCCTGTAATGAGAAAAATGGAATAAACATACCATCAGAAGAGGCCAGTTCCTTGATGTAGTCAGGAGGTTCAGTATTTTTAACTTCCTCCACATAACTGCCGTAGTTTGGCTCATAACTTGGCGACCATAATGGACAGTTACAATCTTTTAACCACTCGAGCCCATCAGGGTCCTGAGAACATAAAAACGTAACCATAATGTCAGATAGAAATGCTTCGAGTACTGGAAAACTCTAGCGACAAAGAGGTCTCGTATTGTTAAAATGTGGCGAATTATTGAAGGTAAAAGAATTATTCAGTACATTTATGAAGTCTGTTTCCTTCAGAGATCATAGGCGATATTTTTAAGGGAAGAATAAGCTGAAATACTAATTTCTAAAGCCTTTGTCACTCTACTCCCGCGGAAAAGTGTTTTCTAACAACTGGTCAAAGGAACGCGGACTCTGAAAACGAGATCATCTCGATCAGGCTCTTCCCAATCCTCTCTCCTGAGATCATGCACTATTGTTGTAATTCCTAATTCCTCGTTTATCCTCGTCCAGGGGAGAGGTACCGGGCGAAAGGCCACAAAACTACTGCTGATGAGTTGAGCGGGTCAAATTTTGAAAACATTTGCACTTAAAGCATCTAAAAAACTGACTCAATTACATGAGTTCAAGCATTTTTATCGTAGCTTTAGGTGCACAAGTATAAACCAGATATTAAAAAATTATCTTGTTCTACTGTGAGATTAAATTTGGAGGTGGATCAGGGTACTGGATTTAAGCTTAATCATCAATCTCTCATCTTTTTTTTTTTTTTCACCTCGTAAGCCTCATAATCAGGCAATTCTTCTCTGATATTATTTTCTTGCGGTGAGTTACCCTGACGCCTGGCTTCCGCACAACTTGACCTTTTTCTGTTAAGGTAAAAGAAGCAACAGTGTTAGCTATCCTTTCATTAAATGCAATTTTCAACAAGTGTTTTTGTTACTTACCTTGATATTTTGTAACTGCTGCAATGACCATCTTGTTTTTGTTTCCCGAGAGAAGCCTGTAAGAACATAGGGAAAGGTGACTGTAAGAACATAAGGAAAGGTGACTGTAAGAACATAAGGAAAGGTGACTGTAAGAACATAAGGAAAGGTGACTGTAAGAACATAAGGAAAGGTGACTGTAAGAACATAAGGAAAGGTGACTGTAAGAACATAAGGAAAGGTGACTGTAAGAACATAAGGAAAGGTGACTGTAAGAACATAAGGAAAGGTGACTGTAAGAACATAAGGAAAGGTGACTGTAAGAACACAAGGAAAGGTGACTGTAAGAACATAAGGAAAGGTGACTGTAAGAACATAAAGAAAGGTGACTGTAAGAACACAAGGAAAGGTGACTGTAAGAACATAAGGAAAGGTGACTGTAAGAACATAAGGAAAGGTGACTGTAAGAACACAAGGAAAGGTGACTGTAAGAACACAGGGAAAGGTGACTGTAAGAACATAAGGAAAGGTGACTGTAAGAACACAAGGAAAGGTGACTGTAAGAACACAAGGAAAGGTGACTGTAAGAACACAAGGAAAGGTGACTGTAAGAACACAAGGAAAGGTGACTCTCTCAGTTGGTGTCAAATTAACGCTTGATATTCACCTCTTGCTTTCTAATTATACAGCAACTTTCTCCTAGTCAGAAGTCGGTACTGGGTTACTATATTGTATTTTGCTCTTTATACACGAGTACGATAAATAATAAAATGTTTATTTCACCGATTGGAAATTTCGATGAGCTTATGCAAACGAAAGTTTGAACACTCAATCAGTTAAACATTTACTTACCCTGCTCTCGATTTCGGTTCGTTTTCTCACAGCGAGGGGATTACATTCTGCTTTCCGCTTTCTAGAGGGTCGTTCTGATTTCATTGCAGTCCGATTTACATTTTCATTTTTTTCTTCAGATGAGTTCGTTTTCTTAGGAAAGTTTTCTGAAGAAACCCCGAAGTTATTACTCTCTTGCAAGGAACTGGTCTGAGGCATGATGCCTACACAATTGGAGTTTTCCCTGAGAGGATAAAAGAAATATCACTCTAATAAAACTATTTACTTGAGTCTTTAGGTAACTAGCTGCTTAAGGTTTATGCCACGTGGTTCCTTTAACTTCTACATGCTTTCCATATCATCTCGAAAAAGGTTCCTTCGACGCTGTTTTTCCGTTTCAATGAGAATCGTTTTCCAACAGAAAAAACTTGCTTTGCAGTCAAACTAAAATAAGTAACTCGGGAAAAAAGGTTTGCTTCACTAAATTTTTATCAAATTTTATCTCAACTTCTATACTAAAGCGCGAAACCAGTTTCTGAACACAGCAGGGAGACAGACATCAATGCTTTAGAGAACACGGAAGGATGCATGCAAATAATGCGGAGCTGCTTCATGATTTTGAAAGTTTCTCCATTTGCTCTCTGAGGATAGTACTCAAAGTCACGGAGAAATGAAAGCTACGTTAGCAAAATGAACAAATGGCAGGTAGAAACTGTGTTAGTTTAAAATACACGTTTAAATTTCTCCAGATTAAAGTGCTGAACGACAGAATAACAAAAACCGAGAACGGACAACCGTACGATTCGAGAGAGCCGTTCAATCTTTGGTTCAAGGACACGTGACACACGCTTGTTCTGATGGCATCTTCCACTAGCTTACACACACATTCCGTAACAACTTTCCAAAAATATGGTCAAACAAAAGCAAAGCAATGTCAACTTGGAGGCAACTACTCGCTTTCCCTATCAACAGCATAAAAATAACTTGTAACTGCCCTTACTGAAATTTTCTAATATCAAATTCAAAGGTTGACAATTTTTTCATTTACCTCGGTAGTTCAGGACTGCAGAAGAATCGTTGAGTCTTGATAAAATTCTATAAAAAACAAATTCAAAACCAAAAATTAATTGTTTTTCAGTTATCACCATCGCTAAAATTTAAAGTTTACTGAAAACAAAATTCAAGGATGAAATTAGCTTCACAAGTTGCGATACGACGCGTGACTTCATGAAATTAAATGTATCTAATTTGTTTCACCTCGCTAATCATATGATATTTTCTAATTGCTAATCATGTCAATTCATTTCGATTAGAAAGTCCTGCCTGGTTAACAACCACTCTTAATTTTTTTAACTTACCTCGATCTCCTTCTCTGTCTGTTTTCTTTTACCCTCGGGAAGCGAATCAGTTCCCGCTTTGCGCTTTCTAGAGTTTTGGTCCGATTTCCGAATCGGATTTTCATTCATGTTTTTGTTTTGACGTGACCTCGCCTTCTTTGGCAGGCGTGAAGTTCTCTTAGGCATGCTCGATCAGGGTCAGTGAGTCAACAAGCTCAACCTCGATTGCGATCAATTGTATCTGTAAACCTTCTCTGTGCTCACGGCTAGCTTGTCAGTACACAACTACCAGGCTCTATTGAGAATTTCCAAACTCTAGCCTTTCGTCTCTGTGACGTGTTTTTGATGTTTAGCGCGCGCTTAAAAGTATTTAAGTGCGCGTGCTAAATACGGCTTTTATCTTCAAAGTTTCCGCCGAAGATCTTAAACATTAGTAAAGTTTTGTGGCATGAACAAAAAATAAAAAAAGGGAACTATAAGGTAAATTGAAAAAATATTTCATCTGAAACCTGTAACTTTGCACCAATTTAAAAGCTTGATAGAATCTTAAACCCTTCCTATTTTGAACATAATATCAACCTTCGAAAAACGGGCCCATTTTGATTAATCATAAACAAGGCAGTTTCATTCATTTAACTGAAAAGAACTTCGTGAAATTGTTCTTTTCTGATGTCCTTTTCCATGGCAAGTGGACATTGTTGAAAGCATAGGGAGACACCTTTTTATTGCGGGTTTCGGTAGCTGACTTTTAACTATTACACTTTTTTTCCGATACTAACACGTATTGCTGATGACACCCTGCCCGTCCATCTGTTTCAATAATGTAAAATTCACCCTTTTTGCTTCTAGCCAATAAGTATGCTTTCATCGTCGCCTTAGGGAAGAGAATGACGAGTGCAGCGCGAGAATAGGCTAAGTTGCTATCAACAAAAACTAAGATCCTGCCGTTCATAAAAGATCCTTGTTCTAAATCACTGGAAATTCAGTCCATCCTCTGAATTTACTACCTTTTTTTGATTTACACGGGCAGTATAGTTTGTGTTTCTTTCACAGTACATTGTTTTTTTCTCTTTTTGAGACGAGAAAGCGCTCGGGATCTTGCTCAGTTGATCGATAGACCCTAAAAATCTTGGTGTTTTAGTTAGATTTTTTTTTTCATCGGTGGAAATCGAAGCCATCCTCTGGATTTGCTATCACCTACTCTTCGACGCCAACAATTTACTCGTTTTCTGCCACAAAACATTGGTAAATTTACTTGTTGGAAAAAAAAACGTTGGATAATTTTTATGGCTCCCTGTGGCACACTGCTACGCTGATGATACACATCTTTATCTCAGCTTCGAGCCAGACGAGGCTTGTCACAAAGGGAGGCTGTGGCCGCAACCAATCTTGCATTGAAAAAATCAGAAACTGGATGATTTATGACTAACTGTTAATTAATGATGACAAGACCAAGTTTTTACTGATAGGAGCTAGACAACAACTCTCAAAACTTCAATCAGTTTCAGTTGATAGCTCTGTCATCAATCCTAGCCATAGCGTGAAAAATCTTGGTTGCTGGTTAGATAACACATGGCGAATGTCAGTGCACATAACTAATATGTGCAAAGCTTCGTTTTTCTATTTACAAGAAATTAGAAGAATCAAGAAATTTTTACTTATTCACAGCCTTGCAGTCTTAGTTCATGCACTTATTAGCAGCAGATTAGATTATTATAATAGCCCTCAGTACGGCGTTTCATGTTCCGAGTTCATGTTCCGAGTTCATGGTACGAGTTCATGTTCCGAGTTCATGTTCTAAGTTCATGTTTTAAGTTCACGTTCTAATTTCATATTCTGAGTTCATGTTCCTATTTCATGTTCCTAGTTCATGTTTCGAGTTCGTGCTCCGAGTTCGTGCTCCGAGTTCGTGTTCCGATTTCATATTCTAAGTTCATGTTTTAAGTTTACGTTCTGATTTCATATTCTGAGTTAATGTTCCTAGTTCATGTTCTGAGTTCATGTTCCGAGTTCATGTTCTGAGTTCATGTTCCGAGTTCAAGTTCTAAGTTCATGTTTTAAGTTTACGTTCTACTTTCATATTCTGTAAAATACGGCTGTTAAATGTTCGTAAAATACGACCGTTAAATGTTCGTAAATTGCGACTGTTAAGTGCTTCTAAAATGAGCCCGCTAAGTGTTTGTGAAATGCGATTGTTAAGTGTTCGTGAAATGTGACTGTCGAGTTTTCGTAAAATTTTCCAGTTAAGTGTTCGTAATGATAGTGCACCCGTTTGGTTTTCATAAAATGAGACCGTGGACTGTTCTCAAATATGGGACCATTAGTAAACTGCGGCAGTTGAGCGCTCTTGAAATGCACGACCGTAGATTGTTCGTAACGTCCATGATTTGATAAGCGTCTGGCGTCGCAAAAAGTCCTTCAGATGCACGAGTTTGAATTACTCTAAAAATGCCGAATGTAAAAGGTTCTGGATGTAAAGTTGCGGGGATAGATCAACTTAATATGTCAGTTAAGTGTTCTTAAAATTTACGGCTTTAAATTAATCGTAACCTTAGTATTTAAGAAGTCGGGAAGCGAGTTGAGGTGGAATAACACATGAGAATTTGGGGTCGATGATCTGATTTATCAATCTAACACTACCGAATGTTCGTGGAAGTATGACTCTTAAGAGTGCCAGGAAACAATGAACAATAGGAAATAATTTGAAGATTGCTCAGAGTTTTAGCGGTAGGGTCAGTATCAACTGGGTTGGCCATCATCACTGAATTTCTAAGACACGAAACACTTTTTTCGGCTTGTCTAATCACGCACCCAATACCTGATTCCCCCATAGTGGATGTCATGCAATTACTAAGTCATAGAGAAAGGAAAAACAGATTTTTTTTTTACGTTTTTAATGACAACAAAGAATTAAGCAAAGAATTAAGTTGAAAAGACGACTTTTCTTGGATCCCTCTATTGTGTCCTGAAAGTCACCTGCGAACAAAAGCAGAGCACAAGATATCAATTCTGAATCAAATCCACAAACTTATTGTAGTAATCGTTCTGGAGAAGTACCATGAACGCGGCACCGTTCGTGCCTTCGTTTCAAGTTCCTCATTATGTTCTCATCCCTTATCGCTCTTGTACCTCGTTGAAATGATGCTGGCTACCAGGTGTTTCTTTTTTTAAATCACTAAGAACCTAGTGACTTAGTAGTATCGGAAAATCAAAGGGATTAAACCACCATGCTAAAAACCAGACAAACAAACAAACAAAAAATTAAAACCATCGATCTAAAAACAATACAAAACTATTGGAGTTGAAGAAAAAAAACAAAAGTTCCAAGTGCAATGAAAATGAAAATTTGAATTGAGATTGGTTTCTATACAATGTGATCACTTCTTATTTTCCCTCTATCAATGTAACCGAGATTTATAAAATGCAAACACATCTTACCATTCCACTTTCATTGCTGTCATCTTGAACGCCTTATGCTTCTCCCTAGACGGGGTAGCAAGTATTTTGAATATACTAAACATATTTTAAAGTCATGAAAAACAATAATAAGATAAAAGATAATTAAATCTCTTTACAATGAAGAGTGTCTATAATTGTCCTTAGAGTCACAGACAATGATACTTACTTCATCAAAATTCGTTGCCGGTCCTGCCGGTAGATGTTGGAATATTGGCGTAACGAGAGATATGGTGGTCATACTGACGCCAATGAATTTACTAATTCAAATAAAACTCTATCCAGGAGGTCCAATGTTTTCCTGATAAAACGTGTACTGCAATGTTCGCAATTCCATCAATTTACAAATCGTGTAAAACAAAGATATAGATCTATATACTTAACCTCATTGAGGGTCAGCGCCTGGATTCTTTTTTCCGTTATTCTTACAGATAGAACCTTGGGCGAAAAAAAGTGATCTTTTGTGTGTAAAAATTAAAAATTCCAAACGACTGAGTACGTTTAGATGAAAAAGAATTAGGTAGTTATCTTGGTTAGATCTCGGGGGGGCAATTAGTAACAACGCAAACGATTATTGAGAGCACCGAGAAAGGGATGCAAGCTGTTATGTCATACCAACAGTCGCTCTAAAGATTTTGAGATGTAAGTAAGTATGGGATGGGCTTGTCGTTTCTACTATCAATTTTTAAATTAGAGCATTACAGCATCCTCTTCGACACCAGGTAGGTCCCGACGCCTTAAAAGCACGAACGCTCACATTTCTTTTTAATAACGCACGACTTATCAAATGTCCTAAAAAGCACGATGTCTCAAATGACTAAAAATGCACGCTATATCAAATGTCTTAGAAAGCGCGATGTCTCAAATGTATTAGAAAGCATGATGTCTCAAATGTCTTACAAAGCACGATTTCTCATGTCTTGAATGTGAATTTCTCATGTCTTCTAATATTCTTTTTAAGACATTGGAGACATCGTGTTTTTTAAGACATTTGATACGTCGTGCACTTTAAGACATTTAATTCGTCGTGCTTTTAAAGACATTTGATACATTGTCTCAAGTGACTTAAAAAGCAAGATGTCTCAAATGTCTTAAAAAAACACGATGTCTCAAATGCCTTAAAGTGCACGATGTCTCAAATTACGTAAAAAGCACGATGTATCAAATGTCTTAAAAAGCACGATGTCTAAAATGTATGAAAAAGCACGATGTCCAAAATGCCTTAAAAAGCACGATGTATCAAATGTCTTCAAACGCACGATGTCTCACATGTTATAAACACAAGATTTCTCAAATAACTTAAAAGCATGATGTCTCAAATGACTTAAAAAGCATGATGTCTCCATTGACTTAAAAAGCATGATGTCTCAAATGTTTCAAAACGCAAGATGTCTCAAATAACTTAAAAAGCATGATGTCTCAAATGACTTTAAAAGCACGATGTCTCAAATGTCTTAAGAATCACAAGGTTTCAAATGTCTTAAAAAGCTCGATGTCTTAAATGTGTTGCAAAGCAAAATGTATCAAATGTACATTACGACCGTGTTGGTATGACGCAACCGTTAACTGTTAGTAAAATACGAATGTTACCTGTTCGTAAAATGTGACCGTTGAGTGTTCATTAAAGTCCTAGAATGCACGAGTTTTTGAATGTCTCACAAAGAGCGAGATCA